CCTCCTCCTTCTGACACTTGGAGGGTATGACTTCCAAATACCAGAAGACATAAAAGGCATTTTAGATACATCCCAAAAGTATTCTGTGTTCAAATGCTATGCATCAAAATGGAAACATTTTAAAGTTTGCTGAACATTGGAAATTTGATCTTCTCTTACTGATGTGTCATCTTTTTTTTAACTGAGCTAAAATCTGTTTGCATTGCACTCCTGTGGACTTGTTATGGATTTGTCAGTTATCTCCACGTCTCAAGATCTTATCCAGGTTTTTCTCCCTCTCTTTCTCTCTGCACATGAAGATTAAATGTTTTCTCAAAGGCCTGCATAACTTGCATACCCTGAAAATGATACCAGTCTCTGCCTGGAGTTTTTCTTTTGTTTTGTCTATGTTAATGAGTAGACCTCTTCAGTCACTGGAAACTTGAGCTTTTATGTAATACCATGGGAAACTGCCTCTTTAATTCCCCTCAAAGTTTTAGCAATCTATATGTTTTATTTATTTTTACTGCATTTCAATTAATAACAAAAAAATGAGCGAAACACAAAAAAAACAGTGATAGTGATGTGTGTATATGTGTGAATACACACACCATACACACATATATGATGATGATGATATTTCATTTCATTTCATTTCATTTATTGGATTTATATACCATCCTACTCCTGAAGGACTCAGGGCGGTGAACAGCCACAGAATAAAACACATAAATACTAAATTTAAAAACAGAATAAAACCGAATTAAACAGTTTGGCCGAGACAAATTTAAAACACCCAATAATTTTAAAAACAAATTAAAATTTACATTTTAAAGGGGAAAGATTTAGGCCAGGCCGGCTTGATGGAATAAAAAAGTCTTAAGAACGCGATGGAAGGTGCGCAGATCCGGGATCCTCCATATCTCCGGGGGGAGCTCATTCCAGATAGTAGGTGCCCCCACAGAGAAGGCTCTCCCCCTGGGGGCCACCAGTCGACATTGTTTGGCCGACGGCACTCGGAGGAGCCCCTCTCTATGAGAGCGTACCGGCCGGTGGGAGGCTATTGGTGGTAGCAGGCGGTCCCGTAAATAACCAGATCCTAAGCCATGGAGCGCTCTAAAGGTGATAACCAAAACCTTGAAGTGCACCCGGAAGACCACTGGGAGCCAGTGCAGCTCGCGCAGGAGAGGTGTTACATGGGAACGCCACGTCGCTCCCATAACCACCCGCGTGGCCGCACTCTGCACCAGTTGGAGCCTCCGAGTGCTCCTCAAAGGGAGCCCCATGTAGAGAGCATTGCAATAGTCCAGGCGGGAGGTGACGAGGGCATGAGTGACTGTGTGTAAGGAGTCCCGATCTAGAAAGGGATGCAACTGGTGAATCAGGCGGACCTGATGAAAAATCCTCCCGGTCACGGCCGTCAAATGCTCTTCTAAAGACAGCCGTGAATCCAGGAGGACGCCCAAGTTGCGAGCCCTCCCCGTGGGGGCCAGCGATTCGCTCCCAATAGTGATGGCGCCAACTGACTATATCAGGACGTCGGAAACCACAGCCACTCGGTCTTGGATGGGTTGAGCCTGAGTCTGTTTCTCCCCATTCAGATATAACTTCATATGGATATAACTTCATATCCATGCCATTTATTGTTTTTCTAAAAAACCCCTAGTCTTCATATTCTAATTTCATTTAGAAAAAATACATTATTTTTGAAGCTTAGAAATAACACCCATCTCTTGTCACTGGCCCATCTCCAGGTATATATCTTCTAATTCTCCCATCAATGTTAATCCCAGAAATCATAACAAAGACAAATTTGATTACTTACACGTACCAGAGGTTTTTCGAAAAGTCTCCTGTGAATGTGACCTGTCCTTTATCATTGTTCATTGTCTTTTGTCTCCTATTGTTGGGTTGGTCTTCAGAAAGAGAAGCAGCAGCCAGAAACCCTGCTAAGACATGGGTTGGCAATGGGGCTTCCACATAATGTTCATCTCTACAAGTTTCTGGTAGAGTGTTAAACACTGGGAAAGGATATAATTTAAATCTCTCTGGTGGACATCCTTGAAATTCTGTTCAGTAAAAGATGATTACAGTTTGCTGTAGCTAGTCAAGCTAAGCTTCTAATATGGCTTAATCTGTTATTGGACTTTCCAGTGAGGCCCAGGGAAAACAGAAAAAAAAAGTCATGAAATTTTATATCCAAAGCACAAAAACACACACCGAATCTTACAAACATCCTGAAAACACTATAGTAACTGTAGAAGGATGTGGTCTTTACAAATAGGAAAGGTTTTAATGAGAAATTCCCTTTTAGAACCTATGAAACTAAAACTGTAGGTATGAGAATGCATGTATTGGAAAAGTTGAAAACTCTAGCTATATTGCTTGAATAAGCCCTTGCGTTTTTAAACTTGGTTAGCAGTTGTAATAAAGGTGGTAGCTTGAAGGACATCATTTGGACATTGTGTTTGGGTCTTGTTATATAAGCTTCCCCCCCACCCTTTTATTGAGCACTCAGTTTTCTAGAATTTGGAAAACTGGTTGTTATCCACTTAGTCAAGCAAAGTGCTCCATCCATGATGTACTGAATATACATTCTGAATATACAGTCAGCAAGTGAGAAAATTACCTGCTGGCCAAACTGTTTTCCAAACAAACGTGACTGAGCAAGGCATTGGTTTTTGCCAGTTTATCCTGTTCCTTAGGCTGCAAATATACAGATAAAGGATATTTGCAAGTTTCTAAGCTTTAATGGTTGTCATAAATCACTCCATTATAGAAGCAGAGTACAAGATAACACTTAAACCAAGAAACATAAATTAGAAGTCTGTATTCAACAAAAAGACTGTGTTCTTGTCTGTGGCTTATAATAGCAGCTCTCTTCAAAGGTTTTGATGTGCTTTCAAGATTCTGTAATAATAATACTTTAACTGCATAAAAGTACATTCCAAAAATAATGGCAGTGCCTATTTCTTGTCCTCATCTATCTTGAAGGGCTGATATCATTCTTAAAAACCTATGAAAGCTCTTCTCTACTTCAACTACATGGGGCTCCCCTTGAAAAGCACCCGGAGGCTCCAACTGGTCCAGAATGCGGCCGCATGGGTGGTTATGGGCGCAACTCGTTGTGCCCACGTGACACCCCTCCTGCGCGAGCTGCACTGGCTCCCAGTGGTCTTCCGGGTGCGATTCAAGGTGTTGGTTACCACCTTTAAAACGCTCCATGGCATTGGACCTGGATACCTTCGAGACCGTCTTCTGCCACCAGTAGCCTCCCACCGGCCAGTTCGCTCCCACAGAGAGGGTCTCTTCAGGGTGCCATCGGCCAAATTATGTCGGCTGGCGACACCCAGGGGGAGGGCCTTCTCTGTGGGAGCCCCTGCCCTTTGGAATGATCTGCCCCCAGAAATTCGTAAAATCTCTGATCTCCGTGTGTTTCGCTGTGCCCTCAAAACCATGTTGTTCCGCCAGGCTGGGCTATCAATGTAAAGATTTTAATTGGTTTTAAATGGGATTTTAAATTTGGGGTTTTATAAATTGGGCCTATTATTTAATAATTTTAATTATTTTTAAATTTTGTCTGTCTTTGTTTTTAATTAGGCTGTACACCGCCCTGAGTCCTTCGGGAGAAGGGCGGTATAGAAATAAAATTAATAAATAAATAATAAATAAATAAACTTACATTTAACCCAATCAAGGCAGAGTTGTTAACCTTCACACTATTTTCCCAGCTTATTTTTTCCTGTAATGACTAATTCGCCCCTGCTCTCAACAAAACCCTCTTTCTATCACAATAGGCGAGAAACAGGCAAATGAGAAGTGTGTAGTAAGGAATGGAGGTCAAAAAAATAGGGATGTTCATGAATTAGTCTCACCTTTCAAGGAATCATGCACCTCTCTGTTGTTCAGTCCTCTTTATCTGTGGGTGTATTTTAGGGCACTGTCCTAGGCGAGCATCTGAGTCCCTGGTATCTAAGTTAGCACTGGCTCTGCATCGTTTTTGTTCCAAGTGACCCAGGCTGAAGTTTCACCAGAGCAACCTCCGAATTAAAACTCCATAATGCAGTTGTGCCATTTCATCATACGAATAACATAGTTTATAGTTATAGTTTACTTTATTGTCACTGCACATAGTACAATGAAATTAAATGCCGTCTTCAGTGTACATTATAACTGTAAAAAATAAAAACACAAACATACATCCTTTACATTCTATGTAACTGAAATTGAAAACCTGATATTGCACTATACCATAGAATTCAGTATGGTTATTGCCCTGGGATAGAAGCTGTTTTTCAGCCTGTTTGTCCTTGTTTTTATTGTCCTGTACCGTCTGCCAGATGGTAATAGTTCAAAAAAAGGGTGCCCAGGATGAGATGGATCTTTAAGAAAGTTTTGAACTTTCTTAAGGCAGCGGGAGCTATAAAGCTCTTCCAAGGAGGGGAGAGGACAATCAATGATCCTCTGGGCAATGATGTTGACCCTCTGGAGTGCTGTCCTATCTGCCACTGTGCAATTGGCAAACCATACACAGGTGCAGTAAGTTAAAATACTCTCTATGATGCAGCGGTTGAAGGTCACCAGCAGTTTTTCATTCAGTTGTTGTTTCCTGAGAAGTCTCAGGTAGTATAATCTCTGCTGGGCCCTTTTGACCAGTGCTGCAATGTGAGCGCCCCAGGTCAGGTCCTCATTTATGATAACACCCAACATGGGGAAGTTTTGGGTGCAAAAGTGATTTTTATCTCAATGGGGGGGTGCCAATTCTCAGATGCATTAAGTATTGTGCCATATGGAAAAAAAAAAAACCAACAATAGGATTTTTCACACACAAGTTCTGTGTAGGCTCAGACCTTCATCAGTTTGAATCCACCCTCTGAGTTCTACTCAGAGAACCTCAGTTTTCAGGTAAGCAACCTGTTCTTTTCTTCCTTTGTTGGTAATTAGCTAACTAATTGTAGGTTGGGCTTTCTCTGTCTTTCTCTTTTTCCTATTTCTGCTGCGCTCTTGCCGCTGCTCACCAGGTGGCAGTGGGAGACTTTGCGAAGGTCACCAATGGGCAGCATCTCCCAGCAGACATGATCATTTTATCTACCAGGTCAGCTATCCCTGAATGTATGTGAACTTGGGCTTCTGTTGAACTGAGGTTTTAAAGCACATTATTTGCAATTTTAAAAATCAGTAAGCCACAGGATGAGACTGTACTTCCTCCTCCTTCGCTTCATTTTATATTATTTACAATACGGCGTCCAGAAGGTTGGTGCACACTACGCTAATCTTAATAAATATTACCCAAATGAGAAGGAAGATTAGCATTTGCATTGCAATTGTTTTTTTCCCCATTTTTAGGATGAAATACTGCAGATTTATGAACAATTTCTCATTCAGGCATTGACAAAACCTAATTCTATGCTCTCTTACCTTGTACCATTCAGTAACAATTATAATGTTTATCTATTTGACTTTAGCCTCTTGCTCACCAGCCTGTTGAATATAAATGTACCTAAAATTAATAGTAGCAATTTAAAACATTGACATATTCCAACATATATTACAATAGTGAAATCATAGACTTGTAAATTTTCCACATTATCTTCTTCTGTTAAATGAGATACAGCATATATGAATGTTTACAAAGCTAACATTTCCAACAAAAGATAATTTCTACATTATTTTTTGCCCAAATGGATAGGTTCTTTCAGAAATGGGCAGCATGCATAGAAAACAAATAATTCCTGACCTTACTAGTAATTGCCACACTTTTGATTAGTATCAAAATTGAAAACTGTCCCTGATTAACAGAATAACTAGCTTTAAAACTGTCTTCCTGTTTGCTTTATGGTCACTTTAAAACTTCTCTTTCTCTGAGGAAAAAGTTTGCTTCTCTAACATTTTCTCGGAATTTCCTTTCTCTTGGTGAGTGCATTTTACTGGAGAATGTTATTGTTCCATGACCTTTTTAGGTCTTTCCTTAATCAGAAAATACAACTGTTTACCTCCTCCAGATAGTCCAGCTGTGAGGTATGCAAGGGATTGTGCCCACAGATTTCTTCTTGGGAATAAACTGTTCTACTTTAAATTTCAAATGCTTGCTATTTTTAAGATTCAAAAGTTTCTGAACTAGGTACACATACACACAAATATAAAATACCTTAATATCAAGTCAAAAAAAGCTTTGACCGCCAATATACATATACTTAAACATTTCATGATGACAAATAAATAGCAATAATTAAATTAATGGGATATGTATAAATAAGGTTTTTAAAAAAATATAAGGTAGCATTGCCTCCTTCCTAGGGTTGAGAGAGTGTGATTGGCTCAAAGTCACCTAGCTGACTTTATCAAACTAGATGCCAAACTAGAGCTCACAGTCTCCTGATTTCTAGCTGGTGCATTAACTGCTATACCAGACTGGGTCTCCAACAATTCTCACCATCTATTATTCATTCAGGAATATAGGATTCGTTACAGTTCAGTGTTCCTCCCTAGAAAAAAAACTTGACCTTTATTTGCACAGGAAGAATGGTTGATAAGCTGCACACTTTCTTATTTATTGAGTTATTTATTTATTTTCTGATGGTAAAATAATATGAGGAAGTTGTGAAAATTCCCTCAGAAATTTATATCACAAACTTCTGGTCATAATTAGTGCTGGATGTGAGCTGTAGAAGTTTGAAAGAGGCAAAATGTTCGTATTGATCTACCTAATAAATTAAAACTTGAAATCCACATTTTTGCATTGTGAACTGATAACCAGGTATCCCCTTCTTTTAAGACAATGCAGTTATTCTGCAATTTTTCCGGAACTTTATACAAGCCAGTTAGGGTGGAGTTGCTGGAATGATCAAACAAACAAACAAACAAACAAACAAACAAACAAACGGATGGCAAAATCTGAGTAGAATTTCAACTAAGCATCATCATCCTGATTAAAAATAATCTGTTCAATTTGATACAAGTATTTTTTAAAATAAGGGGCTAGGGTAGACCCCTCCTCTAGCCCCTTACACACAGCCTATTAAAAGTGCCAGGTATATTTTATTTACTGTGTTTCTTTATAAAGGCCTCAGTTCACCAGAGTTTGCATGCTGTTGAGGTAGTACTTTTTCTGATATACTACATTATATATTTTTTTAAATGTGTGCCTACTAAAAAAAAGAAAATGTCTGATTATTTAAATCCTTTTGGTAATAATAATAATAATTTGGGGAAAAATCAGTAGTTGAATAAAATAAGGATTCTGGAAATTCAGTCACTTTTTTCTTTCAAGGTTGTCCTTAAAGATGATCGTTTTGTTACTTTTTTTTTTACAGTGAACCTCAGGCAATGTGTTATATTGAAACAGCTAATCTTGATGGAGAGACGAATCTTAAAATACGACAGGTAAAATTAAATTTTGTTTTGGTGTTTGAAAGTGATGAAGTAATAACTTGGAAAATAGCTTGGGCTCTCTTGCAATATTAGTTGTGTGATGTGATTGTAGATGGAGATCTGAACATTGTTTTTGTTTTTTTCCTCTCTTAAAGGGGCAATCTAGACCAGTGTTTTTTACTCTTGGCAACTTGAAGTCATGTGGACTTCCAATTCCCAGAATTCCCCAGCCAGCAAGAGGAATTCTGGGAGTTGCAGTCCACACGTCTTCAAATTGCCAAGATTGAGAAATTCTTATCTAGAGGTACTTGTTAATTTTAAGACAACACAGCATGAGCCATATTGGGATATTATTCTTGCAGATCATTGCCAGGGTTGTAATTACAAAGCTGTTTTTGTTTTAGGTCCACATTATTCAGAATTATGTATCTTGTCTGGGACCTTTGGATTTTCTGTATTAAAAGTCTTGTTCATTGAGCAATGGCTTTTATTAAACCATAGCTAGATGAGAATTCTTCTTGGCAATGAAGGAAATCAGAATTAGTCTTCCTATTCTCCCTATTTTCATTTGTGGCTTGGGACAGTGTATGTAGAGGCATTTTTTAGGAGTTTTCAGAGAGTTTACCTGTTAGCTCTCACTGAAAAGCAAAAATGTTCTTATATTTTACAGCAGGAACTTTCATTTGTTTTTTTTTTTCCAAAGTAAATGGCAGGGAGGTCCAGCATGGGCAAAAGTACCATTCCATTAGCCAGAATAAAATCAGGACGTAATAACTTCACAGCAGCCAGAGTGTGTGAAGTCTCTGTACTGATGAGGATTCTGAAGTTCTGAGGGAATTGAAAAGCTTCCTCTTATCATCCTAGGTGGTCCATGCTGAGAGAAGCTGGAAATTGTAGGCTATAGGTTCCACTAGGAAGATAAGTTCCTAATTTGTGAAAGAGAATTGATATTTTGTCATATATATCTATGGCTTGGTTCTATACAGGGATTGATTCAGACTGCTAACCTCCAATCAAAAGAAGACTTGATGAAAATGTCTGGGAAGATAGAGTGTGAAGGACCTAATCGTCACCTCTATGATTTCACTGGAAATCTCCGCCTTGAAAATCAAAGGTTAATTAATATCAAAGCAACTGGTATTTCCTCCCCGCCACCCCCAAAAAAACTTTTGCATGACTAGAACTCTCTCAAAATTATTCTCTTGCGCATGAAATCTGGTGATGGGTGGGGCAAACAGCATGAACCGGAAAACGGTTAATCGAATTCTTTGTTAAATGGAAGTTATTTTCTGTTAGAAAAACATAAGGTAAAACCCAGAGTAAGTTAAGTGTTTGAATCCTAAGTGCTACCGTGTTTCCCTGAAAATAAGACCTTGTCTTAAATTTTTTTGAACCCCCAAATAAGCACTTGGCCTTATTTTCGGGGAGGTCTTATTATTTTGGGTGCATGGAGGAAACCAGAGGAAATGGCAGGGATCAGCTGTGCATGCATTTAAATATTTTCGGGGAGGGCTTACTTTCAGGGGAGGGCTTATTTTAGTGCATGCGCTCAAAGCCCGATTGGGCTTATTATCAGGGGATGTCTTATTTTAGGGGAAATAGGGTACACGTATCCTTAGTGTTTGACAGAATGATGTTGAATGAATTGATTGAGTTAATAAGAAATATTGACAAAAACGCTTGAAGGCTGTCTGGAAACTTCAAGTAGCACAAAATATGATGGGTAAAATATGATAGATCCTGGAATGGTGTGGTGTCCTAGAGGTGGAGCTGTTGCCTCACAATCAGGAGACTGGGAGTTTGATCATAGGTAGAGGCAGATATTTCTCTCTCTGGGCATAATGAGAATATATCTGCTGAACAAAACTCCGCATTGGCGACAGGAAGGGCATCCAGCCAGTAAACACTCTGCTAGCTCTATTCAGTTGCCCAGACTCCACCCCGCAAAAGATTATGGGGTCATTAAAAGGAGATGATGATGATGAAAATATGATAGATCCTCTTAGGCCAGTGGTGGATAACCTTTTTCTTGTCGTGTGCTGAAAGCGCAACACACGCACATTATCGTGTGCATGCGTGCCAGCACCCATAATGCAATGCGCCCCCCTGCGCATGCACATGTGACTCCCCGCTCCCCCTGCCCCCCATGCATGTGCACGCAACCCTCCCTGCCCCCCCATTTTTTGCCTAGCAGGCCTCCCTGCAGCCTCCTGGGCCCAAAAATGGGCCATGGGGGGGGTGCCGTACCCCGGTGCTCCCTCTATCCCCTGCACATGCATGTGCACATGCGACCCCTGTGCATGCACGCACATCTCCCACCCCACCCCTTGCACATCCTGAAAATCAGCTGGCTGGTGGGAGGCATGCGCGCACGTGCGGTAGAGCTGAGCTGGGCGACGGCTTGTTTGCCTGCAGAGAGGGCTCTGCATGCTAGCTGTGGCACACATGCCATCGGTTCGCCATCACAGACTTAGGCCTTGTCTTGTACTTTAGCTGCTTTCTGATGCATTGATGGCATTTTATTCCTATAATGTTTATAGTATACTACCTTTAATTTTTGATTTTGATTTAATTTATTGCATATTCGATTTTTTATTGATTTTATTCGCATTTTAACTGCATGTCACCATGAGAGATTTTTTTAAATAGGTCATAAGGAAATTTTTGAAATGATAGTATTTTAGCAATAATGACAGCAGTAGCTGATTTGATTGTGTTGTTGCTGCCATTGGGGTGGGTTTTTAAATGGATTTTTATTATATGATGGATTTTTTTAAATTTTGCAAGCTGCCTGGCTTCACCTATATAGAGTCACCTTTATTTGTATAGCCACTTGGGTGGTTATATAAATTTGTATAATAAATAAAATAAATAGCTACAACTACTTTCACTGCTCTAATGAGTGTATTTAGAAAAACCTATATTTTGTTTTTTATTATATTATAAACTTCTGTCTTCCTTATTCTCTTTTTTCTCATCAGTCCACTTCCAATTGGACCTGATCAGATCTTACTAAGAGGTACACAATTAAGGAACACTCAATGGGTTTTAGGAATAGTTGTCTACACAGGACATGACACAAAACTTATGCAGGTAAGTATCTCTTGATCTGTTTCTAAGTCTTAACATGTTTCTGTTGGGAAGTCTAGCAATGATTTCAAGTACACTGCTCAAAAAAATAAAGGGAACAAAAGCAGAAGACATCCGAGATCTGAATGAATGAAATAGCCTTATTAAATACTTTGTTCGTTACATACAATAGTTTTATGTTCCCTTTAGTTGTTTGAGCAGTGTATAAACTATTGTATGTAAAGAACAAAGTATTTAATAAGGCTATTTCATTCATTCAGATCTCGGATGTCTTCTGCTTGTGTTCCCTTTATTTTTTTGAGCAGTATATATCTTTATTGTTTAATTATTTGGGTATTTTAACACTTAGATCCTACTTTTTTTTTTTTGGCCTATGTAGCATCTAAGGCTAATGAGATTAAAAAAATAAAACATACCATAAACAATAAAAATGTCATGGAAACAGTAAATATCAGTGTTAAAACCAACTCAGATTGATCAGATCTGGCTTAGGGAGGAATAGCTTGACTTCTTTTTCTAAAGCAGAAAAAATGGGAATAAGTCTTGAGGGAATGTACTCCATAGTTCTGAAGAAACATTGATGTCAGAATGTAACACATTTTTAACAGGATGTTGCCTACTTATGCTAATGTATACACAGTTTATACCAAGACAGTGAGATAATGAAGTTCTCAATAATGTAGGATTTTACAAGTTAAAAACAGCATTTGAAATTATGCCTTGAAAAATGGTAATTAGACACCATAACTTTCCTGCATCAGTTGGCAAATTTATTGTACATCTTACATGTTTGTTTGTCTTTTAGATTGAGCTGTAGTAGTTGTGATTATAATAGTGCAGAAGTTTGTAGAAATTAGAAGATTGCGGTGTTTAACTTTTTGGAGAAAATGCAACTATATTTGCAGAGTATATGTAGGTATGTGCACACAGAGCTATAGATAGGTAATCTTAATCAACTGGCTAGTAAATGGCAAGCTATAGTTAAAATGTTAAAATAATTAGGGACTGTGTTTCCAATTACAGCAAGGTCTTTAGTTATCTCCTTTAATTAAAGGAGATCCTGCTCCTTCTGCTACTACTTACAGACTGCAGGGATGCATAATCGCTCTCATCTCATGAACTGCATTCCAGAAGATACTTCATTGGTTAATGAATTAATCTACTGTCAACATTTCCACAATACATAGTGAACCACAAACAGGTTGACTTTGCAGTACAAGCTAAGCAATTAAAACCCCCCCCAAAGATTGGCAGTTGTGGAAATGCAACCAGAAGGTCTGCAACTAATCTGGTTAAGTGTGTTGTGTGAACACAGCTAGTCTTCTCTCCCTTAGTATGTCTATTTCAGCTTTCCCCAGTTTGATGCTATCCAGATGTGTTGAACTATCTGGTACAACACACCTGGAAGTCACTGGATGGGAGAAGACTGGCTGTTAGCGCAAAGCAGGTGGCATTCTGTGTTTTAAATTGATAGCTGTTATGGAAGAAAAGGATAAAGAGAAACACAGCTTCTGTTTTTAATAATGGATGTAAAGTCTTTCATAATGTCTGGCTGTAATTTCATCTTGGTTTTCATTATTCTTTCTTGTGAGCACAATTAATCATTGCAATTCTGTGGCTGATCCTTTCCAGAATTCAACCAAAGCTCCACTGAAGAGATCAAACGTAGAAAAAGTTACCAATATGCAGATTCTCATTTTGTTTTGCATCCTTCTCGTCATGGCTTTAGTGAGTTCTGTCGGTGCCTTACTGTGGAACAGAACACATGGAGAAGTCATTTGGTACTTTGATTCCAATGGTGAGCAAAGCCTCTTATCTTAATAGGCTCTTATCTTGAAACCAAAAACATCATTTCCAATTTAAGAAAGTGAAGGTTCTTCAAATCAATGCACCCACCAAAAAGCACCTGAAGTTTAGTGCAAACCAGCTGCCTTATTTTCCCCATCATGTAAATGGTAAACATGATCTGGATCTCCAAAACCCTATTCATTTACAATTTAGTGTATTGCATCCCTCTTTTTATTCTGTGTTTTTAGTCCGAAAGAACTAGCTATGGATTTGTGCCAAAGAAAAACACCTGCACTCATTGTGTTGGTTGTCTAATTTGATCAGAGTGTAAAGTTACATGTGCAGTCAGAGCAGAGTTGAGTTTGATTTCCTTTTGGCATAGTACTAGTTTATCTTCTCATATTAAATGTAGTAGGGATATTGCATAGAAGAGGCCCGAAACATGATAGCCATTACTTGATTTAAGAAAAAACTAGAAAAGAAAGTGTTTCAGAGCAAACATAGCTTCAGCCAGCATAGAGGCCGTTTTCAATTATTTGGAAAGAAGAAGAAAGAATCTCACTAACAAAATAAAGCAGAGGCCCCAGTTGGTATTTTTTAATGCTTTAAGAAAATGTCTACCATGGGGGGGAGGGGAGAGCAACTATCCTGTTCTCAAAATGGCTGTCAGAAGGGTGTGGCTTTTGTGAAGATGGGTATATTGGGTGTTGTCGCAGAGTACTTATTAACTGTCCCAATCAGGGCAGTGTATAAGTCAATGTTGACTTCCTAACAATTGCCTGGACAAGTCCCTATAGTTTTCATAGAAAGATTTCAGAAGTAGTTTACTATTGCCTCCTTCTTAGGGCTGAGAGAGAGCAACTTCATAGGGCTGAGAGAGAGAGAGCAACTGGCTCAAAATACTCAGTTGCCTTTGTGTTAAGGTAAGACTAGAAAATGAGGGACGTGGTGGCTCAGTGGCTAAGATGCTGAGCTTGTTGATTGAAAGGTCGGCAGTTCAGCGGTTCGAATCCCGAGTGCTGCATAACGGGGTGAGCTCCCGTTACTTGTCCCAGCTTCTGCCAACCGAGCAGTTCGGAAGCACGTAAAAAATGCAAGTAGAAAAATAGGGACCACCTTTGGTGGGAAGGTAACAGCATTCCGTGCGCCTTTGGCGTTTAGTCATGCTGGCCACATGACCACGGAGACGTTTTCAGACAGCGCTGGATCTTCGGCTTTGAAACGGAGATGACCACTGCCCCCTAGAGTTGGGAACGACTAGCACATATGTGCGAGGGGAATCTTTACCTTTGCTTTAAGACTAGGAATCACGGTCTCCCACTGTCGCCTTAATCACTACACCAAGCTGTCTCTCAGTGAATATGAACTTGTCATAAAACAGTTTCCAAAACAGGCAGACTATAATGAAGTTGTACCCCGCCAAACTTTAAAATAAGATATTTATAGTCATCTGTGGACTTTCACAGTATCTCCACTCTTGTCTAACTGTTGCTATATTGACAAAGGGGGCAGTGTGTCTTCTCTCCTTTCCCTCAGTGATTCCTTGGATTTCTATCTTGGTCCTTGGCCAGCTTCCCTCAGATTTAACACAAAGGAGTTAGCAGGGTCTTAAATGCCACTATGTGGACACAAAGCCCACACAAAATGATTTGCAGCTCTTCACGATTATATTTCATGGGGAGACTGAATAGCGTATGGTAAGCTTTTGTGATGCAGACAATAGCAATAAATGAATACCTCTTCTGTAACGAGACAAAACGTCTTACTGGTTGTGATAGGCACTGTTCATTGTATGCTTTGCTCTGTCATCTGCTTTTTCAAGTCGGTCACTCTTTGTCTGGATACAATCACTTTGGGAAAGACAGCAGTAGGCCTCATCTGCTATAGAGCTGCTGCTAGCTGAGCTAGCTTCAAATAGGCGTAATGTTTATAACATAACATCGTAACAGAGGCTAGCTGCTCTTTTTTCCCCCTCTTCTGGGTAAGAATACATTCTGCCAAAATTAGACTGAAGCAAAAGAAAAGGAGAGAGGAGATAAGGACAATACATTTCTTAACTACAGAAGGTAGATATATTAAAAGGGGGCAGTGAAGCAAGTTCATGAAAAAAGAGCCAAAGGAAATCAAATTGCCATGTTTGCTTTGTAACTATACATGCATGATCAAAGTGATAGATCTAGTAACATCTGCAGTTTCTACCTGCAGCTGATCAAACCAAAATCCAGATAGTCTAATGCAGGGGTCCCCAACCTTGGCAACTTTAAGACTTGTGAATTTCAACTGTCAGAGCAAAGGTGGCTGAGGAACTCTGGGAGTTGAAGTCCACAAGTCTTAAAGTTGCCAAGGTTGGAGACCCCTGGTCTAATGTTGTGCTTAATGGAAGAACCTATAGAACACAGGTATCAAACTCGATAGCATCACATGACATATCATAATGTATCATGACATTTTTTTGCCTTTGCAGGCGTGGCCTGCATGTGACGTATCTGGCCCGCAGGCCGCCAGTTTGACCGGCCTGCTATAGAATGTCCTATAACTGAAATTCTATCTCTTCCACCTCTGCTTCTCAGCATCTGACATTTGTTACTTCTGATTGTGAAGGGAATTTAGGGCCATCATGGCTAATAGGAATCTGAGCTTCAGTATATCACTCGTCACTTCCCGCCTGGACTACTGCAACGCTCTCTACATGGGGCTCCCCCTGGGGTGCACCCGGAGGCTCCAACTGGTCGAGAACGCGGCCGCGCAGGGGATTTTGGGGGCGACGAGACGCTCCCACGTGACACCTCTCCTGCGCGAGCTGCACTGGCTCCCGGTGGTCTTCCGGGTGCGCTTCAAGGTGTTGGTGACCACCTTTAAAGCGCTCCATGGCTTAGGGCCGGGGTACTTACGAGACCGCCTTCTGCCACCAATAGCCTCCCACCGGCCAGTACGCTCCCACAGAGTGGGCCTCCTCAGGGTGCCGTCCGCCAGACAATGTCGGCTGGCGACCCCCAGGGGGAGAGCCTTCTCTGTGGCGGCGCCCGCCCTCTGGAACAACCTCCCCCCAGAGCTACGTACAATAACAGACCTCCGGATTTTTTGTCGGGCCCTGAAAACCCATTTATTTCAACTAGCTGGGCTGGCTTGAGTCAAATTTTAAATGGATTTTAAATTGGAATGTTTTAATTACGGCCAAAATTATTTAATTATTTTGAACAGTTTTTAGATTTTGTATGTTTTGTATGTATGTCTTGTTTTTACTTTGGCTGTTCACTGCCCTGAGTCCTACATTGGAGAAGGGCGGTATAGAAATTTAAACAAATAAATAAATAAATAAATATATTGGTTTGAACATCCCATTGTGAATTCCACAATGTAATTCTGTGTTGTGTGAAAAAGTTATTTCATTTGCCTTAACTCTCCCACCTCTTCTAGTATATGGTTTATGGAGTAGGAGATAAATCTCTGCCTATTAGTGGTATACAAATACAAAGCTATACATCACCACCTCCTGTGTTAAACGCATTGGGCTAGAAACATGCTGCACAGTTCTCACTCCACAGCTACAGTCTCCTTCCATAAACTTCTTTTTTATTCTGAATTAGATAAACTCTTCTCTCCAGCTGCTCTCCCTGTTTCATAGCCTAAATTTTCCCACCCAGTTTGGATAGTAAAATTAAGCCACCTCATAAAGACATTTTGTGAGTTGGAAAAGATCAAACAACCCATGAAATTACTAAAGTTGTACCATCCTCTGCAGATAACCAGATGTAGTTTTCTCCTCTGCAGGAGAAAAGCTTCATAAAGCAGAGGGGTGACCTACATGTAAGTTTGCAACTTTTTGCATGAAGTAGAACACGGGTGTCAAACTCATGGCGTCACGTTGCCGTCACATGATGTTTTCCGATGTTTTTCCCCTTTGCGGAGCTAGGATGGGCATGGCCTGTGCGTGACGCATCTGGCCTGCGGGCCGCCAGTTTGACACCCCTGAAGTAGAATAACAGAATAACAGAGTTGGAAGGGATCTTGGAGGTCTTCTAGTCCAACCCCCTGCTCAATACCATTTTGACTGGATACCATTTCAGACAAATGTTTTCTGAAGCTTTTGAAGCTGCAAGCATCTGTGCTGAATGCTGAAATATCTGTAGAAACAGGCATCATTTGAGTGTCATTGGTAGTGGTGAAGGATCTTCTCTGATTTGTCCACTGAATAATCTTGATTGGAGTGATATTGGTTTATCTTTTGAATGAAAAATGGTTGTAAGGGTGGGAGGTACTAGGTACCCTTTTTTAAAAAAACAAAGAGTAGAACTTGTTTCAAGACATCCTTTAAGTAAAGAACCATCTGGCCTCTGTTTGGTTCAAAATGAGAAAACAACAGAAGCTTTATAATACTCCATCGGTGGATTATACCTGGACAGCTGACTATTCCTTACTATTCAGATTACAGTAATTCTTTCCAAAGTATGCGTTGATAATATTTTATTTCACTTTTCTACTTAAAAGCACCCAAAGCATCAACTTACATATAAAAGTACCCAAGCATATTATATCCCTTTGGGTGTGTAATTGGCCACCTTAAAAGAATGGATTAGCATTTCAGAATGCTCTCACCATTCTTCCCCTTTCAAATCTCTACACACAGTGATGTTTATTGGTTAATACAACTCCCTAACGTTGGCACAAACTGTAATTTTTTTTACAGTGCCACTGTTCTCTCTGAGCTTAATTTTGGTTTTCTCTGATTTTCCCCCCCAAATATTTTTGGACCTGTTTTCAAAGTATTTTAGAAGTCCACTCCCTTATATTGTGTCAACATGAACACAACTGAATCTCAGGATGAACTGAATCAGAAAAGAGATATACACTCCATATTCTCCCCTCTTTTAGTTGTCATCATGGTTGATCTGGTATTTCAAGTAATCGACAGGCTGTTCGGTCCAGCCCTGACTGCAATATACAAATATTAGATACAAGTATTTTACTGCTTTTTGGATCTTAATAGCAATGTATTAAAAAGCTTCACATGAAATTGTTAATTCATATAATGCAGGGTCAATATTGAAAGCTTTGTAATTTCAGAAATATTGTTTCTTAATGTTCCTTTTTGTTACATGAATTGATAGCAGTTTCCCAATTTGTGTATTCCACTTTGGGGATTACACAATCATATGTGCGTAGCCAATATATCTTCTCTTTCTCTAACTTGTTTCTCTGCCTGTGTTTGTTTTGGCCCGCAGAAGTCCGATCCACTAATTTTGGATATAATCTGCTCACCTTTATAATCTTGTACAACAACCTTATTCCCATCAGTCTACTGGTGACTCTGGAAGTTGTGAAGTTTACTCAGGCTCTTTTTATAAATTGGGTACGTACAATTAAATGAAACTTAATTTAACAGCACAACAATGAGAGACAAATGAATATTAAGTTATTAGACTTCTAATAGTAAAATATGTAAAAATGTGGCACTTATATCTCCCTACCCAATATGATTCTTAAATTGGAAGGAGAGTCTGAAGTAGGATTTTTAATAAATAAAAATAAGTATAGTTTTTAGGGTTAACAACAAAGCACTTCATATGCAAAATAAATACAGATTTCTTGAGTTTAAGAGCTTGGGGTAGGCAGCTTTCTGTCTCTCCTGCTAATTATAATTCACTGGACCAGTTTGAAACTGGTTAAAATATGCAGAAATTGCACAAAAATGATTCCAATCTTGATTGAAATAACCAAACAATCATAGTCATTCAAATGTTGTGAAAGAAACAAATGTGTAATTTGACCCATCACAATCTATGGTACAGTTCGGTGTCAGGAAGTATGTCTTTGTTTCAGGGATTTTAATTAAAAAAGATTTCAATGTTTTCTACTTTTTAATCGAAGATATCTTGGTATTCCCTTTGTTCACTTACTGTAGTCTTGTACCAATTATTTTTGTCTTTTGTCTTTTTTGCTTCTTTGTTTGCTCTTTTTTCTTTTATAAATGACTAAGTTTAAAAAAATAATTATAATGTAGTACACATTATAAACAGAAAAATATAAAACTAGCATACAATGATTATGGTTTTTGCTTGTTTTCAGGACATAGATATGTATTATACTGAAACCGATACACCTGCAATGGCCAGAACTTCAAATCTTAATGAGGAACTTGGCCAGGTAAGGATATGGAATGGCACCGTAACAAAAAGGGGCTGTTCATTTCATATATTTAGTCCATGAATCAATTTGAGATGAATCTGTAGTCATCTGATTTTTAATGGCAATCTGTAAGATGATCCAGCCAGAGCTTGTAATAAGAGTGGAGAAATCTGTTACTTTCCAATTCTTTTTGGACTAAACTTTTCATCAACCCATATTATTGCCCCATGCCAGTTATGTGATTGAACCATACCCAGTCCCTTTCTGCGTCACATATTCCAGTAGGCATTTATCTAATGAGAATTGGGTTTGTTTTCATGTAGCTTGGTAAATTAGTGACACTACTGATTATAAAACAGTAGTTGAACTTAAGTCTACTTAAGATTCTTTGTACGAAGCTTAGTATTTATCGGAACAGGTCCTCATTATATCAGTGCCTTTTAATTTTCCATGTGGCATTTTTCAGGGAAACTATATGATTTCTTACACCAGTTATTCATTTCACAAAAGTAAGGCATTTACATTATTTTATCTTCTTTGATAAATTTGAAGCAAAATTCAAGGTTGTGAACATAGAGATAAACAGACTGAATAATTGATTTTGCTGTAATTCACACATAATTCCTGTGAGAAAAAGACTGCTGGGGGTTAATTTTAAACCTGGGTTTTTCCCAACTCTCATTCAGCAACTTAACAAGGGAGGCTTGTTCTTATTCATTAGACTGTATATTTAGTTCAAAATCTGTGTATTATCCTGCCTCTGGTGCTACAAGTCAAGTTTCTGACTCACTTCTGTAAAGTTGTATACGCTTGTATACTGAGCTCTTGTATACTGAGATAAGTTGCTGTACATTTTGTAAAAGGTAACTTAGGTGCACATTTAGTTGAAGAACTAGTCACTAAGCCTTTCCCAACATGTATTTGGAATATATTGATAGCATTTCCCAGAATCGGCCAATCTGGTCAGGGAATTATGGGATTTGGGATACTTGACAAACCTGAAAGACCTGTTTGGGAAAGAGTGTGTTAAAAAGCAGTTAAATCGATCAAGGCCTCATTGTATGTTTGTCCACATATCTCAGACAGGGCTCCATTGAACATTTGACGATACAGCTTTAATTTCCAGTTTTCTCAAAGATTCTCTATTTTGTTTTATTCATAATAGTATATATCATTTGTCTCCTAGGTTAAGTATCTATTCTCTGATAAAACAGGCACCTTAACATGCAATATTATGAATTTTAAGAAATGTAGTATTGCTGGAGTAACCTATGGGTATGTACCATGTTTTTATTTGCTGTATAAGCTTAAGGATCATTTTTATTAGATTGATATTGTCTTACATTGCGTGTATGGGATCGTAATTCTATACTTTTCTAGTAGTTTTCATTTTACTTACAACATTGTTAATTTTGGAGATAGAAGATCAACAATTTCACACTTTAAAGTAGCAAAATCTACCTACCCCCAGCAAAGAACAATACGATTTCACCATTTGCTGAAATTAAGATATCTAATGGCCTCGGAGGTTCCAAAATTGTTAACCTGAGTGTATTGTTAGGTGGAAGTACAAACGTAGAATAAAGTTTGAAGCAATATAATGCATACAAAATATGATTGCATAGGATTGCTTTTCCTTTGTTAGATATGCAAAAATAGGCAGCAGAGACTAATTTGGTCAGATTAATACAACAGGTTAACACCTGCCTTCATTGTTTGCTAAATTAATCAATTTGAGTTGACATGACACACAGAAGTGAAATGTACCACTAGGTTTGTTCGCATACTGTGACACTATATAGTCATAGGGCCATGTTTTTAGCTAATGTATTGTGCAACACCAGGTAGAGAGTTGATGTTACTCCTCCATTTTCAGAACCTTAACTCCCCTCTATTCTCCTGGATGTATTATAGGTAGTTCTCAACTTACAATTGTTTGTTTAGCAAACATTCAAAATTAAAAAATGGTGTTGAAAAAAAGTGACTTACAAATGGTCCACTCGCTTTTGATCATCACATCATTCACGGGGACACATGATTGTGATTTGGGCACTCATCACTCATGTATGATAGTTGCAGCATCCCATGATCACCATTTGCAACACCCCCAGCCAGTTTACAACAAGCACAGCCAAAGGAATCCAGCAGGGAGAATATCAAGTTGTGGTTACATGATGTCTTACTTAATGACCACTGTAGTTCACTTAACAACCATGGCAAAAAAGGTTGTAAAATCAGGTGCGATTTCATGATGCCTCACTTGTGCACAGGTATAGTATATGTGGTACCTTACTCAATAGTGGTGACTGTGAGAGGGATCTTGGAGTCCTAGTGGACAATCACTTAAACATGAGCCAGCAATGTGCTGAAGCTGCCAAAAAAGCCAACACAGTCCTAGGCTAGGCTGCATAAACACAGGGATAGATTCAAGATCACGTGAAGTGTTAATACCATTTTATAATGCCTTGGTAAGGCCTCACTTGGAATACTGCATCTAGCTTTGGTTGCCACAATGTAAAAAAGATATTGAGATTCTAGAAAGACTGCAGAGAAGAACAACAAAGATGATTAGGGGATAGAAGTTAAAACATATAAAGACCAGTTGCTGGAATTGGGTATGTGTAGTTTAATGAAAAGAAGGACTAGGGTGACATAGCAGTATTCTGATATCTAAGGGACAAAGAAGAGGGAGTCAACTTATTTTCCAAAGCACCTGAAGGCAGGACAAGAAACAATGGATGGAAACTAATCAAGGAGAGAAGCAACCTAGAACTAAGGAGAAATTTCCTGACAGTTAGAACAATTAATCAGTGGAACAACTTGCCTCCAGAAGTTGTAAATGCTCCAACACTGGAAGTTTTGAAGAAGAGATTGGACAACCATTTATCTGAAATGGTATAGGGCTTCCTGCCTGAGCAGGGGGTTGGAATAGAAGACTTCCAAGGTCCCTCCCAACTCTGTTATTCTGCTACTTATTGACTGCATTGATTAATGATAAATTTTCCAGTCTTTATTGTGATGGTAAGTCGAGAACTACCTACTGTATGTTGTAGCTGCAATTCTGAGCAATTTTCAAGAAGGAAGTCGCATTAATTGTAACCAGTAGGCACAGAATGTAATGTCAGTCCAATTTCTAGGCAGCAGCAAAGGTTGGATTCTATAGTATGTTGTATGCATGCCTACAATTGATTCCCTTGTATTGCATGGAAGAAGCATTCTTTGGAGAATGACATATCATTTATTCAGCAGTAGCTTCCTTCTAATCGGGATAGGCATACCATCAATCGTATTTCATTTTTCCCCCCCCCTGTTTAGTCACTTCCCAGAACTGGCAAGAGAATGTTCCTCAGAAGATTTCAGGTAAATAAATATTGGGTACTGGTAACGTGTAATTGTTGTAATTGTAGGCCTGTAAGATGGCTCAAGATTAGGCACTTTTGGGAGAGGTACTCTTGGGGTTTTTTGGAGGTTGAACAATAGGAAAACATACAGTATACAGTAGTGGCCAAAATTGTGGAAACCTTTTGGGAAAAGTGTATTTTCTAAAACTAGCTAATAACACCACTTTTTTTGGAATAGTACAGGGGTGGGTTCTACTTACCTTTCCTACCGGTTCGCAACGGGATCGCATGCACAGATCACCAATCCAGGGTGGTGGGTGGGACTTCCTGCCAGTTTTACTACCAGTTCTTGCGAACTGGTCCGAACCGGGGGCAACCCACCATTGGAGTAGTACCATAAAATTATATATCAATGGAAAGATAATTTAATCAAGAATGTAATGCAATAATTTTATGAAGGATTTGCTATTAGAATAGCAGTTACAGTATAAAGAAGAAAAGTGAAACACGTAGAAAAAACGAGATATACAAAAATTATCATGTCAGTTAATACTTAGTTGGGTAACCTTTAGCATGAATTACAGCCTTATGACGTCTTCCCATGGAGTGAACCAGGTCTTTTAGTTCTGCCGCTGTTATAATGTGAAACCAAGATTGAATGATTGCTTCTTATTAACTGGGTTTTATCACTTCTGACTAACACGTTTCTTTAGTCGGCTCCATAGATTTTCAATTGGGTTAAGGTCTGAGCTATTCCCAGGCCATTCCACCAGTGGAATATGATTATCTTGAAACTCCCCCCCCCAAAAAAAGTGGTGTTATTAGCCATCAATCCTCAAAAATACACTTTTCCCAAAAGGTTTCCACAATTTTGGCCGCTACTGTATACAGGAGAGACCCTGGAGAAGAAAAAGAAATTGTATTCTTTTATGATCTCCTCCCCTGGCATAAGGACTTCTGGTGTGTTAAATTTCAATTCTCAGAATCCCCCATGCTGGCTAAGAGAGCGAGTTGGGTGGCCGTATAAATTTTCTTAATAAAATGAATAAAATAAAAATAGAGGTTTGAGTTCAACCTAACTGGAAAGCAAAGTAGATAAAGAAACAAAATAAATGCAATGAAACATGCCGGGGAATGAAAGAGGAGATAACTCTGAAAACAAAAGACTATATCATTAGGAAAGTTTGATTATCACTGTGATGACTGTTCTGATAAAAACCAGATAAATGTATCTGGTACAGGCAGTCCTCGACTTACAACAGTTTATTTAGTGATCATTCAAAGTTACAACGGCACTGAAAAAAGTGACTTATGACTGTTTTTCACAATTACAACCTTTGCAGCATTGGTCGTGTGACCAAAATTCAGATGCTTGGCAATTGGTTCATACTTACGACAATTGTAGCGTCCCGGGGTCATGTGTTCCCCTTTTGCAACTTTCTGATAAGCAAAGTCAATGGGGAAGCCAGATTCACTTAACAACCGGAATACTAATTTATCAACTGCAGTGATTTACTTAACAACTGTGGCCAGAAATGTCGTAAAATGGGGTAAAGTTCACTTAAGAAATGTTTCACCTAACAATGGAAATTTTGGGTTCAATTGTGGTCATATGTCGAGGACTACCTGCATTTGATTGTTGGACTGATCGTTTGCAATGCCATAATATATGAATTTAATAGAAATGCACCTGTTCAGGAATCTTATCACCCTTTTTATTATATTCTTAGCCAGCTTCCTCCTCCTATTAGTGAATCTTGTGAATTTGATGACCCAAGACTGCTGCAGAACATCGAGGCTGATCATGTAAGGCCTTTCTTCAGAATTTTCCCATGAATTATTGCTAGAATTTTTATTGCAGTCATTGACCTGTTCATAAAACACTTGGGCATGAATTATTCATTTGTGGCCTCAATAGCCTTCCTCTATGATCTAGAGGATCATGATCAAACTCGATTTCATTGATGTGTTCATTCAGTGTTTGACTTTGGAGGGCCGGGGGGGGGGACGTAGCCAGGATAGGGGTGGCCAGCTTGACGTCACTCGTGTCAGGGGCGCCTGTGGTGGCCTGAGTGCTCTGCCAGTGAAAATGGGCTCCCGATCTCCATTTTCAGCTGGGACAGCCTCCTACAACCCTCTGCCAGCAAAAACGGAGCTCTGGAGAGCCTCACGCGGTCTTCCTAATTTCCGTTTTTGCTGGCAGAGGGTTGCAGGAAGCCATCCCAGCTGGAAACAGAGATTGAGAGCCCGTTTTCGCTGGCAGAGGCACCGCAGGCTGGTCCTTCTCTGCTTCCAGGGTGACCCCACGGGCCACTCTGGATCCAGATCTGGCCCGTGGGCCTTGTGTTTGACCCCCCTGATCTAGATCACATCAAACTCTAAACTATGGCATGGTTCCCCCTAGTGCGATATGTACTAACTGGGAATCATGGGTTTACTTGTGGTTAATCGAAAGTACTTTTATCACAATTACACTCTTAGTTTACAATAGCTCAGTTTACCTTGGCCATGGCATTTGCGTCTTCTACCTTGAAGTAAGGCTATTAGCTTCTCCTTCTGGTCTCCAGAATGGCCACGAATGGTGCTTCTCTGGCTGCAACAATGGTATTTTTCCATGTTCCTTTGTTTTCACTTTCCTAAGTACAGTATGCAGGGAAATGAAATTTAAAAAATCCAGAAAGTGGGGAAAAGATCAGATGCATATATGACAGGGATTCTGTGTGATAGAGATGGTAGCCAGCAAATTGCATTTGGCTGTGATTTGCTGTATAACCTAATGCCTTCTCTGGGTGTAAGTACTATAACTGTGATTTGCCTTAAGCCAGGATTAGTGTGTTGTACTAATGTGCTTATTGGATAGCTTAGAGAGAACTCATGTGACCCATCACTTTTGGGGGGGATTATTTCCATACGAGTGAATCTTCCATCCATCCCTCTTTCCATGGCTGGTATTTAGAGATAACTCTGAGATAATGGTTTAAACCATTTGGTTTGATATTCAGCAGTAAAATAAATAGGGCATCACTGCTGATTGTCCATCAAAAGGTGAATAGCAGCTTTGTAGAAGAGCTGATGTGATAAAATTGCCCTCATTGTTCTCAGAAAATTGGGTGGATGGAATCTATTGTAAATTGTGAACATAGACAAAAGCAAACTAAATAATTGATTTAACTGTAATGCAGGGAAATTATGGGATGTCTCTCCAGGCCTGGCTTTGCTGGGAAAAGTAGATTGCTTTGTGTTAGCAGACCAAGCTTGTGCTGAGGGCATGGATCAGGAGGATAGATGATATTCTTGTCATATGAACAATGACGGCAAGAGAAGGCAGGAAACAAAGAGGATGATTGATCTCACCTGGCAAAGCTGTTCTTACCTTATTACCTTAGATAATTATATTATACAGCTTATTGGATTTTACTTGGCTAAAATCCAATAAGCTTGTATAATGTAATTATCATTTTGAAAAATAACAGGTGAAGTAGCATCCATCCATTTTATTTGCTCTCTGTCTGTGACAGAAAATTGAACTTTTTTTTTCACAAGTCACAGGTCATATTCATTGGACTAACATGGCCCTTGCATTTCAGCCCACAGCTATGCACATCAAAGAATTCCTCACTCTGCTGGCTGTGTGTCACACTGTTGTTCCAGAAAGACATGAAAACTCCATCATCTACCAGGCCTCTTCTCCAGGTTAGTTACTGACCCTTTGGTTGAAACAAAGAACCATTGAAAAGGACAAGAGACTCAGGGAATCTTCTCTAGGACACAAGACAGATTGTGTTGAATTTTAATTTACTCTACCCACATTCATATATATACCATCTAGATCAGTGTTTCTCAACCTTGGAAGCTTGAAGATAGGTGGACTTCAATTCCCAGAATCCCCCAGCCAGCAGCGCTGGCTGGGGGATTCTGGGAGTTGAAGTCCACCTATCTTCAAGCTTCCAAGGTTGAGAAACACTGATCTAGAGCAAGGTCTCCAACCTTGGCAACTTTAAGACTTGTGGACTTCAATTCTGGGAGTTGAAGTCCACAAGTCTTAAAGTTGCCAAGGTTGGAGACCCCTGATCTAGAGCAGCAGTATCCAGCCTTGGCAACTTTGAAATTTGTGGACTTCAATTCTCAAAATTCCCTAACCAGCATGGGGAATTCTGGGAGTTGACATCCACAAATCTCAAAGTTGCCAAGAGTTATGATCTAGACTAGAGTTATTAGAGTGAAGACCAGGAGCTTCCTGCAATCTAATATTAGGAATAAGAACATTGTGGTTAATGCAGATAGAGAATAACAAGATATTCTTTGTAGCTGAAGTTTCAGGCCTACGCTTGCTTTCCTGGACATTGTCCAGATATGTGGCAACATGAGGATTGCACAGGAGGCAAGACAAGTACAGTGAAAAATAGGACTGAGAAATACAGAGCTCCAAGTAAGTTCTTCTATTGAACTTGGTCCTCCACCCCCCTAAAAGAAACCACAGTAATTTTTGTCTGAATCAGAGATTTCACATTTGCTGAAAAAAGGTAGATTTTTTTTTTTTTTGCATTCTGTTTGGAATTTGCTGAGAAAGGTCCCCTTAGTTTTCCTCTTCTTTTTAGATTTACCTTTATCCCAATATGACCTCTACAACATAGAGCCGTGATGGCTCTATAGCCGTGATGGCGAACCTATGGCACGGGTGCCACAGGTGGCACGCGGCGCCATATTGGTGGGCACGCGAGTGTTGCCCTAGCTCAGCTCCAACGCGCATGCACGCACCGGCCAACTGATTTTCAAGCCTTCCGGTCCCACCGGAAGTCAGGAAACTGGCTGTTTCCGGCCTCCGGAAGGCCACCGGGAGAATGGGAAAGGCTGTTTTTGCCCTCCCCAGGCTCCTAGAAAGCCTCTGGAGCCTGGGGAGGGGGAAAAATGGGCCTACCTGCCCACCATGCCATCACGTGCCAAAAGCAGGGGGAAGTGTGTGGGGGGGTCACGTGCACATGCGCGGGAGGGTGGGATGCATTGAATTCTGGATGTGGGCACATGCACCCGCGACCCCCCCCACTCCCCCTGCTTTTGGCACGCGACGGCAAAAAGGTTAGCCATCACTGTTCTATAGCAATATGATATTATTTCATATTTAATTGAACATTTAATTGATGTTGAAAGAGTTCATTTTTATTTGATGGTTTTGAACTATTTTAATGTATGGTCTATTTAGTTCAAAGTTGCTAGAAGTGATGAGTGGAGCAGTACAGAAACATTTTAAAAAATAGATCAAGTAGACTTAAGTTAGAACGGCACTGAAGAAAGTGATTTAAGACTGTTTTTCACACTTTCGGCTGTTGCAGCATTCCCATGATCACATGGTCAAAATTCAGATGCTTGGCAAGTGGTTCATACTTATGACAATTGCAGCGTCCCGGGGTCATGTGATTTCCCTTTTGCAACTTTCTGACCATCAAAGTCAATGGGGAAGCCAGATTCACGTAACAACTGTGTTGCTAACTTAACAACTGCAGTGATTCACTTAATAACTGTGGCACAGAGGGGTCGTAAAATGGAGAAAGCTCACTTAATGAATGTTTCATGTAGCACCATACATTTTGGACTCACTTGTGGTCGTAACTCAAGGACTACCTATATATATATGGGAGTGTTTCCAGCATTCTTGAAACAAAGGACTTAACAGTATTACCTAATTTGATTTTTGCAATCTCAGATTTTTGCAAAACTGTGAAGGTGGAGGCTCTTCTGGGGCTCATTGTATGAGCCTTAGGTTGTGTCAGTGCTTTATCCTCTGCCTGGAAACATCCAGTCTGTGGGATTTCCTGAAGATTTCTCAAGTCTCCTGTCACTTGATGAAAAATGTAAGGACTACCCATGGCAGACATGATGACAATAATGAACTTATTCTTCCTTTCAAAGAAGGTTGCCTAACATTACTGACAGATTTCTGTTGAACCTCTCAACTGAGTGGGCTCCTGAGAAATTTGGAAATCTTCTGCAGCTGTTTGGGGAATTGGGGGATGTTTTCATAAAGGCACATCTGCATTGTCTCTTTATTTTTATTTTTTTTAAGAATGCAACTCTATTCCTGCATTTGTAATGGCAAGCACTTTCTCTTCTCAGATGAAGGAGCTTTAGTCAAAGGAGCAAAAAAACTTGGCTATGTTTTCACTGGGAGGACACCACGTTCTGTCATCATTGATGCGGTAAGAGCTGTGTGGGAAGAAAGTATTGTGCGATCATTCCCAAATTCTTTTATAAAACTGTCCTGGAAATATTGCAGAGAAATAAGGCAAACAGGGCAAAATATCCCTGAGAAGTTCCATCTATTCCAACTGTGGAAACTTTAAAATGTATGGACTTCAACTCCCAGAATTCATCAGCTGGCTGGGGAATTCGGGGGCAATTCTGGGAGTTGAAATCCACACATCCTAACATGGCCAGAGTTGAGAAAACACTGATCTAACTGGTTAATTGGCAAAGCAATTCTACTCTTCGTCACAATGGAAAACTCTTAACCTGCCAGTTGTAGGGTGAGAGGTCGAAATAATGAAATCTTACCAAATTGTGCTTCTGGCATGCTCAGCTAAAAGACTGCACTTGAATCATTTATTTTATTTTATTTATTTAATTAATTTATATTGCCGCCTATTTGCCTATGGCAACTCAAGGCGGCTTACAGAATATAAAAACCACTTTTAAAAACAGTAAAACTAATTAAAAAATCCAATAAATTAACGTATTAAAATCACCCCCCACCTCCCGCCCCAGCGACAGCCGATCACACGAGCCATTTAATGGGCTCCATCCCACTCTGGGTTCCCCAGGCCCACTGGCAGAACCAGGTTTTCAGCGTCTTCTGGAAGAGAATTAGAGTGGGGACCGTTCTAATCTCTAGGGGAATGATGTTCCAGAGAGAGGGAGCCACCACAGAGAAGGCCCTTCTTCTGGGTCTCACCAGGTGTATGTTCCTCGGGGATAGGACCTGCAACATTTCCTGCCTCTTTGTATGCATGTTTCTTGAGCATTTTTTCCAAATGTCATATTAATTAATTTTAAGATGGCCAAGTGCATACATGGATATCCTGCCTTGGATTGTATTGTAGTCTCTCCAATAGTAGCCTCTCAGGTTCTCATAGAATCCAGATAAAAAGTATCTTGAGGGAATTCTATTTTCTCTTGGGCTTTTACTAACTGGGCAGCCAGTGAGGATTAAACAGAAAACAGTGCCAATCCTGAGCCATAATTGACAATAAAAACACCTCAAAAACACAACCCAAGAGAAAAGTAGAAGATGTTTTTAGATGCACTGAGAAAAAGATAGACAATTATAACCATCTTAATGGAGGAACAAAACTTTTAAGAAATTTTAAGGAATTTTCAATACAGCATTTTTAATTCTGGCATGGTGATACGTTGAGTTACAGAAAATATTCCTTTTGGCATGTTCTTAAGAATATAAGTACATGGTTGTGCCCAGCAGAGGGAGCTATTTTCACATATATATTTTTAATATGGATATTTGAAAACAATGCTTTCCTTCCAGTTCTTTGTGTATTTTTAGTTTTTCTTTTACTAAAGTGTGTCTTATTCTGTTACGATCCCAGCTAGGAAAAGAAGAGACATTTGAGATCCTTAACGTTTTGGAATTTTCAAGGTAATTGGCTTTTAATGGCAATTGCAAGAAATAAAAGGAGGGAAACACTTAGGAATGTCCTGCAATTAAAAGAAATTTTCTTTGTTTCTTTTCATTTGCTGAGTTTATATTTCACTGGAATTGTCTTTGGTTTGAAATCTGTGAAGGGCTGCAATATAAGCTGCATCTGGTTTCAGTGGGTTGGATTCTATCTGACCTCTATTAATGGATTATTCACCTTTCATAGGCAGAACTGAGAACTAATAAGTAATAGTTAATATTAAAGAAGTAATAGAATTGAGAACAAATGTTTGTCTTATCTGCAGATTGACTTATCTGTGATATATATATATAGCAATACTTTAAAAAAATATAATACCCACATTTCATGCATAAACAAACAAACAAATAATACTTGCATATAAGCTCTTCTGTGGATAAGCCAGCCGTCAATCTTTTAATCAAAACATCATGAAAAAAGTAGATTGTTTTATCCACAGGTGGCTTGTTTTTCACAGTATTTTGGTTAAAAAAATTGAGGTTTGGCTTATATGCAAATATATATGGTATTTTCTTACTACAAATAACCGGCCTGTCAGTCTTACTGAAGTCCACTTGGAGAATTTCAGAACAAATTAATAGCATAGAAACAATTTTCTCTCTCCTGTCCTCCAATATTACTTACTTTTTTAGAATAGCTATACATGATAAATACAGTTGCTGGAAATATGGTTCTAGGCTATTCCTGATGTTTCTTAGTAATTTTGATTTTTACAGCAATTAGAGACAGATGTTCCATACAAGGCAAAATCTTGTTCTGTTCCTCATGCCAGTTGGGTAAATCTAAATATATTGACCTACATTTCATGTTGGAAATCCCATGACAAATCTTTCCCCTTCTTTCTTTCTCAAAAGAGGGGGAAAGAAAAAGGGGGATAGATAACTGGAAAAAAGGTTGATAATGTGATTGTGGCAGTATCAGAAACCTTTGAAAATATTCCTCTCTCACTTTTCACTATATCAATCTTGGGAAGCAGGGCAGAAATAGCCAATAAATCGTAAACTTCAGCATCTCTGACAATTTAGCCTTATAGTTCATTGCTATCAAATATGACTTAGCTGCATGGCAACTTGAGTTACGTGAATTAGAATTAAATAGTGTTGTCCACAAAAAAGAATAACCTTGTAAAAAATACAGGGCATAAAAAATACAGGGCAGCTGCTGAAAATATGGCATATAACTGAGTTGAAATAACAATATCTTTTGAAGATTATAAGAACTCCCTTTTTATGTACTAAAGTGTTAATGGTGTGCTAAACATGGTTGATACATCACGTAGTTATACTATAATAATTCTAAAATATGGGTTTTCCTTCTTTTTGAAACTCAACTTATTCTTGATACAGTTTTACCTGTAAAAAAATAGAGATACTTTGATTTAGTTTTCAGTTGTTATTTTCTTTCTTCAAGTCCCACTCCCAAAACTTGCAGTATGCCTGCTGTGCAGGGGTGGGTTCTACTTACTTTTACTACCGGTTCACATTGCACCCGGTCACTTAGATGACGTCTGGGTCAATGGGCGGAGCCCGCCAGTTTTACTACCGGTTCACATTGCGCCCGGTCACTTATGATGACGTCTGGGTCAATGGGCGGTTTTACTACCGGTTCTTGTGAACCAGTCCGAACCAGGGGCAACCCACAACTGCTCCTGTGGTTTAATTTAAAAAGTACATTACTAAAACTAGATACAAGAACTGTTTACACTACAATTAAGTTATATATACATACACACACATATTGTGCTGTGGTATTGTTAAGGATATTGGTGTTGTGTTACCAACCAGCAGAGTAAATGCACAAGGAAACGTTGCTGAGAGCAATGAATAAGAGATATGCAAACTGGTTTATCAAAAGCTTACTTTATAGTAGAAAAACAGTCTCATAGTCTTTAAATCAATTCCAAGTTTTTGCCAGTTAAATCAGTCCAGTAGTACAAGAATCTTCTTACCACACAAACAGTAGTTGGTTAGAATAACAAACTCACTCTGGTTCACAAACCACGATGGTAGCAAATCCATCAAACGATGATAGCACAATGAATAGCACTCCTCACACTATGGTAGCTTATCATCAACTGAATACTTTCTTAAATACGTTCACAACTAATTACAGCATGACTCAGCATTACAATGAATCAGCAGGAAAACTTAAAGTCACAGAACACATATTGCCTGGACAACTTGTTAGGCTCCAACCATATCCTAACAGGTATACTCTACTATGCTATATATCTGAAAGCAAGTTTGGTGTGGTTGTTAAGGCATCAGGCTGGAAACTAGAAGACCATGAGTTCTAGTCCCACCTTAGGCACAAAGCCAACTGGATGACTTTGGATCCGTCATTCACTTTAAACCCGAGAAACTACCTTCCATTCAGGCTGACCTTACAGATAATTTATGGTGTTGGTTTTTTAAAAAAATCATAATTGGCTAGTACATACATATTAAGTATTTATAAACCATGGTTTATAAATCACATGTAATGGAATGTGTGGATGACTTTGGGGGATGAGGGAAGGAGATGCGGTCTAGGAAATGATCACACAAGATAAGAAGGGTGGCTTAATTGCCAGACAGAGAAACTTAGGAAGGATCCACTCTTAACTGATCTGACAGTTAAAAATGGCGGTGGAAAGTTTCTATCTTCAGACTTGCAAGATTCTGTTAATCTAGCCATACAATAAAATATATGTAGCTCATACTTTGTGTTTTCTGTCTGGTTTTTTAAGAGGGCTGACTCAAAGACTGGCTTTATGCAACAGTCTAAACCATTATTAAACAAACTAAATCATAGTTTGGTACACTGTGAAGCTAGTCACTAGGTCAGCCTTCCCCAACATATTATACAGATACCTTGGGACTATTACAACTTCAGAAATTCCTAAACCTACTTTACTGCTTTTTTGTGACATTATTAACTAATCCTTACTCAAATCTCAGACTATTATTGTCACTTTGTGTTTATGAAATACTGGCAAAATGATTCCATAAATATCTTCCACCGCTTAATGGATACTTTAATAATCATTAGCAACAACAACTTCTAAAAATTACAATGAATGTTCATCTTATTTCCAGTGATCGAAAGAGAATGTCTGTAATTGTTCGAACTCCAGATGGTCAACTACGTTTGTATTGCAAAGGAGCTGTAAGTATCCTGCCTATTCACAAAATAATTGTGTGGCAGCCCATATTCTTTGCCATGTGTAAATATTAATGATAATAGTACTTGTACTGCTATGGAAAATTGTGCGTTCTTTATGTCTCAAAAATTTTAGTAGCCGTATAGTGTGGAATTTTGGGACATTAGCACCAAAATATCTGGAATGAACTAAGTGGGGAAGATGGCTTAAAAGTCAGTGGTTCTCAACCTTTTCTTCACCACAGACCCTCTTTAAATACCTTTTGTGGCCATGGACTACCAAGACTTAATTCAAGATTCAAATTATAATGTTTCTTGAAGGATTTGCAGATCCTCTGTGATGACATCACAGCCTCCCCCAGGGGTCCATAGATTGAGGACCCCTGGCTTAAGTATTATCAGTTAATGATTTGGAAAAACATTGTACAAGTAATCTTCAACTTACAACCATTCATTGAGTGACTGTTTGAAGTTACAATGGCACTGAAAAAAGTGACTTACAGCTATTTTTCACACATACAATCATTGCAGCATTCCCATGGTCACGTGATCAAAATTCTAAATGCTTGGCAACTGACTCATATTTATGACAGTTGCAGTGTCCCAGGGTCATGTGATCCTTTTTTGTGACTTTCTGACAAGCAAAGTCAACAGGGAAACCTGATTCACTTAACAATTGTGCTATTAAATTAACACCTGCAGTGATTCACTTAAGAACTGTGTCAAGAAAGGTCATAAAATGGAGCAAAACTCAACAAATGTCTCATTTAACAACAGAAATTTTGGGCTCAATTGTGGTCATAAGTCATATCTCCATTCCTACAGATTGGACAATGTATTCATAGTTTATCATTATCCATAAGAGCTACTACTTCCTTACAATGAAGAACAATTTTCACATTGTTTGACATTTTAAAAATCCGAACCAACTTTGCTATCATGGATAATGTCAAACTTTTCTGACATTGGTGGTAAATTGTGACTCTACAGAAACTCAACTTTGCAGCTAGTTAGTACCCAGAATACAAACTTCACAGCCACAGCATGGCTAGATAAATTGTTTTGTTGCATATAAGAAAAAAAAAGTCATAGCTACTTCACAACAGAAGATTCAAATCTTATATTAATATGTCAGCTCAAGTTTTAAATCTTAGGCCTTTTTCTTCCTATTCTTTGAGTTAATAGATTCTTGGTTGTTCTTTTCCTGATCTTAATAATTAGAGACATTTAATCCATATTTAGGCAAAGATTGTATTAGTTTGTATATTACTGGTCTGTGCCTTATTAATTTTATCCCTTATAAATGGACAGAATATATCTCTAAAAACAGGAATGCAGGCATCATTATGGCAATATTTATATATTTTTTTTGTTGACAGGATAATGTCATTTTTGAGAGATTATCCAAAGACTCAAAGTACATGGAGCAAACTCTATGTCATCTTGAATATTTTGCCACAGAAGGTAAGAACTTGTTTATTTAATTATTTGTAGTGCTCTAAATATTTTCTTATTGATTTATTATTGCTCTTCTCAAGTATCAATGTGGGCCGTTCTGTAGCTAAACAAAATCTATTTCAGAATATATGAAATGGGAAAGTTTGGGAAATTTCAGAGTTAAAAATAAGCATATGTTATCCAGTCCTGCTTTTCTGAATATAACTGAGACATCCTTGTTAGAAAACATAAATTTGTCAAACTTAGCTTTCTCCATCATTCATTCATTCATTCATTCATTCATTCATTCATTCATTCATTCATTCAGCTTTTGAATCAGCTTGACATATTAAACACATACCCTAAATTTATACATATTTCTATGCAGGTTTTCCCAATATGCATACTTTTGTGTGCACTTTTCCTAATATTATGCACATTTATGTATTTTAATCTGGTATATATAAATGTGAAGTTCATTTTATATTCACAAAATACACATATTGATGTGACCCTTTCCCTGATATGTCCATATTTACCTAGAATTTACAAAATTCTTCAACTTACAAATATCAAAATATTTGCGCATCAGTTGGCACATTGATTCAGAAAGTACAAAGCAAGAAATGCATAGAGATAAAGTGACCAAGCTCGCTTTCCATCCTTAACAATCATAGCCTTGAATTCATCTATTGTCTTTGCTATTCCAGATTTCATAAAGTTGCAAAATTAGTGTGACAGAAAAATATAATAGGGAGACAAAAGAAACAAAATGTTGAAGAAAGTTATAGTTACTCATTACATTTTCAGCCCTTTAAAACTAGTGTTTGCCTCTAGGCAAAAGATATCTTGAAATGCAGCTTAGCTCATTCCTACATATATTATTCAAGCCAGCGGTGAAATAAACCTTGTTGAAAATGGACTTTGTCGGGACTGAGGCTTTATTTAAAATGTGAAAAAGAAAAGATTATTGGAGGGAAGCAATGCAATAGACGTGATAGTCTCAAGCCATTAGGTCTCCACAGATGTTAACTCTCTTAAACTTTGGGGGCCAGAAAGGCTGAAATTGATAACGAGGCTGATGGATGAAGAAATGGTCCATGTAATACTCATTTTATAAATGTTTAAACACTTTCTTTAGAGCAAACTACATCAATGCAGCCCATCTTTTTCCTGGATTTCTTTAAGAGTCAATCTCTCTGGCTACTGCAATGAGTTTTGTTATGTGGTATCAATCTTTTATATCAATCTCTTATTGATCTGAGTGCTCTCTTATATAGTAAATGTTTAATGGCACTGCACCGCAGCAAGAGCCTTGTTTCTCCTTGTGCCTGAACATTTTATTTTTCTTTGTTTTAGGAACACTTACACGCTCATAATGTAGCCTTTCTGTTTAATATGGCAACTTTTCCCCATTTTTTAATACTCAATGGGCAATAGAAGAAAATAAATTACACTAATGTTGGTGAATACAGACAGTGGCCCTGTAAAAATCATGTTGTCCATATTTCAAAAGGAAGGAGCTGTTCTCCAGATTATTGTGGCTAAGTCATTTATTTAAAATCAAGGCAAATAGCATGTGATGATTAAAAAAGAATTGAGGGTTAACACTACTAGTTAGCTAAACTGGGAAACTATATATTTATCTCACACCAGGATACTTTGTCTTACAGTTTCATTTTACAATATAGGTAGTCCTTGACTTACAACCATTCACTTAGCAACTGTTTGAAGTTACAATAGATTCCCCAAAAGCTAATTAGAAGTCAGTTTTGAAGTTTCAATGGCTACCGCCCCCCCCCCCCGTACCCCCGTCATGTGACCAGATATTATGCAGGGTGGCAATCACCCTGCATTTATGGCTGTTTGCAGTGCTCTACAGTCACATGACCACAATTTATAATAGTTTTGCCAGAAACCAGCATTTATTTCCAGCTTTTTTAGCATTGATTTCCAAAAACCAGCCCATAGCAAACAATGGGCTTGCTTAACAACTGTGGCATTCACATTTCAAAAAATAAGACTGCATTGTGCAGTGTCAAATATTATGCTGGGCCCAAATCTGCTTTGTATGTTCTTTCCTTAGGAAAATCAGTCAGATAGTCTTTATTTAGCAACTGCCTCGTTATTGACCATTCACAGTTACACAGGGGATGAAAAAAAGCATCCCGCCCTTGCATTTATAACCTTAGCACAGGGGTGTCAAACTCAAGGCACAGGGTGCTTAGATCTGGCCCACAGGGCCGCCCTGGAAACAGCAAAGTATCAGTCCGCAGTGCCTCTGTCAGCGAGCTCCATTTTCACGGGCCACCGCAGGCACCCCTGACACGAGTGACGTCAAGTTGGCCATGCCCGCCCAGTCTCCCTAGGTCAAACACAACCCTTATGTGGCCCTCAATGAAATCGAGTTTGACATTCCTGCCTTAGCAGATCAGTAAAGCAAAGGAAAGTCAAAGTAAGTTCATAAGCACAGTTGTGGTTTCACTTAGTGAAACTTAACAACAGAGTTGTCAGCCCCAGTTGTGATTGCTAAACAAGGACTACCTGTATTCCTTGGGGTTTTGGTTTTTTTTGCACCAAATACATTTGAGTGTACAATTTATAACCTCCAATGTATTACTCTAATAATTTTGAAAATCAGCTTCTATGTAGGAAGGCAGTTTGGGGTTTTCGGGTACATCGAGTTTGTTCATTTACTTAATAATTGTTTTTCTGTCTCAAGTTTAAGTCAAATTCCTAACCTCTGTAGATGTTTGGGTTGAACTTCTGTATTTCCTTTTCTAGGTTTGAGGACTTTGTGCATCGCCTATGCAGACATATCAGAAAACTCTTACCAGGAATGGCTGGACATATATAACGAAGCCAGCACAAATTTGAAAGACAGAACTCAAAAGTTGGAGGAGTGTTATGAGATAATTGAGAAGGTTAATAAACATAATTTTGCTTCTTTAAATTTGTACTCCCTCCTTTATTCAGAAGTTGTACAATTATGCTTGGGAAAGAAAGAGTTAAAAATGGGGTACTATTCCAATCCAAGTTTTACGCAGCTTGGTGAAAAAGTATCTCCAAAATGCTGTTTATTAGGAGCCACTTGACTATTATCCATTTATTAAATCAGTTGCTAGTAACTGCATACAGCTGATTGGAGCTTGGACTTTGCTTGTGTCATAGGAGCCATGCCTTAGGTGGCCCCAATCTTCAGTTGCTGCTATTCATAGCTGGGTTAGTCTCAGATCTGCCTCATTAAATCGTATATGATTTAATAATATATTACTGGGGCCTGGGGAGGCCAGTAAATGAAATGAGTCCTTCAAGAGAAGGGGAGTAGCTTTGGTCATTTGGAAGCTCCTCTGCATTTGTGAAATATACAACTGCTTGTGAAGTTAGATTTGGGATCAACCATTGCTACTGTGCCAGCCTTTCTGCTGAGCAGCTGTCCCTCTCTACATGAGTTGGTGGATGATGTGGCTGGGTTGATGGTGGTCTTGGGTGACTTTAGTCTGCCATCCCTGGGTGTGAGAAGAGTCATAAATGACTCAAAAGTTCAAGACTATCATGGCAACCATGGACCTGATGCTAGCTGTTGAACGTCTAATTCACAAAGAAGACGAGCACACAATGCAGCTGTTTTTTTTTTAAAATCTCAGACAGTTGTGATGCTATCTGGAATTGGGGATGGGTTGTTATCATCATTTCCCTATCATGGACAGCCACTTCTAGTTGGAGTTCTTTAGGACTTCCCTTCATCACAGGACTTGTTCAATTGGTTCGCCACAGAGAAGTAATGGACCCAGAAGCAGCTTGGGTTGTCTGGGGACTCTCGTGTATGGATTAAATCATACAGGCATGAAAACTTGCTGCTTTGAACTCTGGAGAATCCCTTGCATTTTGTGCGAGATGAAATGGCAAACATAATGCAATTGGCAGAAGATAAACAAAATCTAACCAAGAATGAGTAAAGAGTATGTGTGAGTATTGCTGCACTCTTATTGCATCAGCATATGCAATCATCCAGAATGCAACAATATCAGTAGTTAAAGGGTGCACTTTGGTACCCCCATATAACATAAGCTGTATTGGTTCCTGGTAACCACCTATGTGCAATTCATAGCTTTACATTGTGAGACTCTCCTATAGTTATTTCTGTCTACCGTACTATGTTGTGCAGAATAAGCATGCTCCTGGCCAGGGGTGGGTTCTACTTGGCTTTACTACCGGTTCATAACGGGATCGTGCATGCGCAGATTGTTGATGATGACATCCGGGGTGGTGGGCGGGACCTCCCGCTGGTTTTACTACCGGTTCTTGTGAACCGGTCAGAACCGGGGGCAACCCACCACTGCTCCTGGCCCCTCTTTGACCCAGTATTATCTAATTGGATCTCGGAGAAAAGCATTTAGTTGGATATCACCCTTTGGGAGAAACTGCTCCTCCCCTATTCCCCAAAATTCAGACAGGCCTGATCTTATTTGTTTTTTTTTCAGAGTCTCTTTTGTAGAGCTATGAAAATCTGTTTTTTCTCCTATGAGTTGGGCCAGGATGGTAATTGCGCCTGTCCTGTTGGGAGTGTGAATGCTACTAAGTTCCCAGTCTTGATTATGCGCTAGTGTTCAAATGTGGTTTTTAAATTGACTTTTCTATCATTTTACTTTGGCTTGGCTTGTTCAGGGTTTTTATTGACGCACACTGTCAAGAGTCATAAATTATACATTTATTAAATAAATTAGTCAGTTCGAATAAGACAATTTGACTAATGGGGAAGTTTTGATGATTTTCAGCTTCCATATAAAATTGCACTGGTTAGAAATCCTGGAAGGAAGTTGCTGTGTTTTGGAAAAAGGAGCCTAGCTTGGAGCAGGGGGTCTCCAACCTTGGCAACTTTAAGCCTGGAGGACTTCAACTCCCAGGATTCTGGGAGTTGAAATCCTATAGGCTTAAAGTTGCCAAGGTTGGAGACCCCTGGCTTGGGGGAAAGCAATAAGATTAATTTCCAGTTCTTTGGGGTTTCATAATTCAGAACCTTTTCATCTCAGACTTTGTAAACTGGGATGGAAGCGACAAGACAATAACTCATCTCTGTCCTTTCCTATTGTGTTAGAATTTGTCTAGTAAAGGGAGGGACCAAAGTAGATGAGTGTATCTTTTCTTAAGATAAACAAATGGATAAAAAAATTGGATTATAATTTTTCCTAATGCCACATTTTCAAAAATTATTAAGTTTTTTACACTGCTCAAAATTGCTCAAAAGTTTTCCATTCCTGTGGCTTAACATTTGGTTTAAAAATATTAAATCGAAAGATAGTTTTCCTGGAACATATGTTTAAGTGGGTTTTTTTTAATTGTTACCGCATAACTTTCAAAATACACTAATCATCTCTTAAATGAATATTTGTCTTGTACGTTTGATTTGTAAGCTAAACATTCCTCTTCTAGAATACATCATGTAGTGACTGAAGGTAGAAATTTTTTCTTTATGAAAACATCGTGTTCTTCTTCTGTTTTTCAAAATTTCAGTTATTTTTTAACCCATTAAATATATTTGTAGTCACAGCTTTTGGCAAATGATATGTATCGACAGTTATGGTCTCCGCCATAAACATGGAGCAAGGTTCAAATTGGAGCACATTTGTAACTTATGAATTCCCATGAATTGTAATAGATATATAAATAATATCATTCATTGTGTGAAAGCTAGCGTTACATGAATGACTATATGTGCACGAGAGCATGTTTAACTTAATAAGGGCAAACTCAGTGAATTAGCACATGCGGTTAATTTCTGCGTGGCTGCCTACATGGTCATGTCAACAGTACAGTTCTATTGTGCTGATTTAGAAAGCTATCATCATCATCATCATCATTTAACAACCCATTTTCATGGCTTAGGACCTGGTTATTTACGGGACCGCCTGCTATCACCAATAGCCTCCCACCGACCAGTACGCTCCCACAGAGAGGGGCTCCTCCAGGTGCCATCAGCCAAACAATGTCGGCTGTCGGCCCCCAGGGGGAGAGCCTTCTCTGTGGGGGCACCTACTCTCTGGAACAAGCTCCCCCTGGAGATACGGAGGATCCTGGATCTGCGCACCTTCCGCCGCGAGCTTAAGACTCTTTTATTTCATCAAGCTGGCCTGGCCTAAATCTTCTCCCTTTTAAGTGCAAATTTTAAATTTTAGTGTGTTTTAAAATATGGGTATTCTAAATTAAGGGTATTTTAAATTCAGCCAAATTTATTTAATTCATTTTATTCGATTTTAAATTTTTTGTATGTATGTGTTTTATTTCGTGGCTGTTCACCGCCCTGAGTCCTTGGGGAGTAGGGTGGTATAGAAATTTAATAATAAATAAATAAATAAATAAATAAACCCCATAAATCCTTGAGGGGTGGAGTCTGGGCAACTGAATGGAAATAGCAGGGAGTTTAATGGCCGGATGCCCTTCCTGTTGCCAATGCGGAGCAGAAGATATATTCTCATTGTGCCCAGAGAGAGAAATATCTGCTTCTACCTAGGATTGAACTCCCAGCCTCCTGATTGTGAGGCGAGCGCTCCATCTCTAGGTCACTGCACCACTCTATTTAGAAAGCTATAAACCTGCTATAAAAAGAGTACCTTCCTTCTAAACCCCTTTTAGAAATCAAGCTTCTAGAAAATGGATGGAAACTAGTCATTTCAGGACTCAATCCTGCAGCCCTTGGAACGGTGCCAGGAAATATATGCAATCAGATTTTCCTTTCTGAAATGTGTCTGGTGTAGAGGGAGTCTGAGGCTTAGTTCAGTGCCCCCTCCCCGCTTCTTTGCCAGCCTCCAAGAAAACTCCTTCATAGGCTATGAATCCCTGATTTTGGGAGACCCCCCCCCCCGAAGCAGGTGGTATTCTGATGATTTCTGAAATGGCTAGGTTTATGCTTATATGTCCATTAACTACGTTAGTTTGTCAGCAACAACAACAACAAAAGTAAGACACAACTTGCTATCATTATTTTTTTACTTTTGAACATCGTCCATTTCTTTCTCCTTCAGGAATTGCTGCTGCTGGGTGCAACAGCCATTGAGGATCGCCTTCAAGCTGGCGTCCCAGAAACAATATCTACTCTAATAAAAGCAGAGATCAAGATTTGGGTACTAACGGGGGACAAACAAGAAACTGCTCTCAATATAGGTAACAACTATTCAATTTTCCCAGTGAAGTTTGTCCTTTGCAAATGCCACCAGATATACATTGTAGATCTTGAGGTTATGGTGTAAATGAAAGATTACTGCTTTGCAGTGGTGAAATCCAAATTCTTTTACTACCGGTTCTGTGGGCGTGGCAGGGGAAGGATTCTGCAAAATCCCCATTCCCTCCTCACTCCTGGGGGGAGGATATTGCAAAATCTCCATTCCCACCCCACTCTGGGGCCAGCCAGAGGTGTTATTTGCCAGTTCTCTGAACTACTCAAAATTTCCACTACCGGTTCTCCGAACTGCTCAAAATTTCCGCTACTGGTTCTCCGAACTGCTCAAAATTTCCGCTACCGATTCTCCAAACTACTCAAAATTTCCGCTACCAGTTCTCTGAACTACTCAAAATTTCCACTACCTGTTCTCCGAACTGCTCAAAATTTCCGCTACTAGTTCTCCAGAATCTGCTGGATTTCACCCCTGCTGCTTTGGCATGTAATCTGACTGATTGGAACTCTATAGGAGACAATCAATCAGTGGAATATTTGGAAAATTCCTGGAAGCCCTTAAGACAGATATTGTATCCATAATTCCAAGGAATGGCATTAGTGAAGGCAACTTGATTGGCATTCTAGGTTCTCATTTTATATATATGTATGTATTATGCTACATTATGTTACTTCAATGAATAATAAAGGTATACATGACATGGTGAGAGAAATCTAACCAATCAAATAATTACTGCAATAGCGTCAACACCAATTGCCAAATATATTGCATGAATCAAAAGTTTTTTCTTTTAACGGAGCTGCAGGAAATGGGGCAGAGAGAATCAGTCAAAATAGGATGGAAGGAGCAATTGTGAGCAATTTCAAGTATATAAAAATAATAAATGATCTATGATTCAATGTTCTATAAATAGGGTATAAACCCAAAAGGAAAATATCACAAAATCATTAAAAAACCTTAAAGTTCCTGTGGTTTTCCTCAATAAAACTTAGTCAATTTCATTCCGACATATAGACTAAATAGTAACTAAAACCCAACAATTATATAGCATCCTGAATTTAATTTTAAAAATCAATAATCCCCAATGACAGTTGCAAATGAAATTCAAACAGAATGTTAGCTAGTTTCTGGGTGTTTATATGGAGCTTAATATCACTTTCCTAATATTTTGATTATGGTATTAATATTTTTTATTCCAGTGTTATATGAATAATCTGTATTTGCCCCCTTGCATCTGGATCTGCATCTGGATAATTTAAATTTTTGCGTAAGTTATCCAACTAAGAAGGAAATTATTCTGAAAAGAAAAATGAGGTATTACAGGAAATAAGTTAATTTCCGTATTCATGCACAGGGACCAACCCAGGGGTGAAATTCAATTTTTTCCCATACCGGATCTGTGGGTGTGGCTTGGTGGGCATGGCTTGGTGGGGGTCATGTGACTGGGTGGGCATGGCCAAATAGACATCACTCACGTCAAGGGGCGCCTCACCCAGCCCCTCCTCTCCCAGCCACTCCTTGTCGTGAATGGCAGGAAAATGGGAAGGGGAATTTTCCTGCCTACCATCCTTCTCTCACTCTGTGCTGAGCTTGAGGAATGGATGACAGGCATGAAAATCCCCTTCCCCATTTTCCTGCCTTACATGAAAACGGCTCCATTCCGAGCCTTCAGTGTTGCAATCCTGGGATACGCTGAAGGTTCGAAATGGAGCCTTTTTCGCTCAGCACAGACTGAGGGAAGAATGGTAGGCAGGAAAATCCCCCCTCCCCATTTCCCTGCCATTCGCAAAAAAGCTCAATTCTGAACCTTCAGCATTGCAATCCTGGGATACGCTGAAGGCTCGGAATGCCTCTGTTTCAGCTCAGAATGACTTTCGCCCATCTCTTTCTGGGTGCAGCGCTTCTGCCTGTTGGGCCACTTCCTGAAGTTGGCAGTTCTGTAGCCAGCCGCTTTGCTTTTTCCCTCTTTTTCCTCATGGGAGGCTTGCGTGGTAGCACCAGCAGAAGGTGGAGGCAGCGGCATGGGGGAGGCAGAGGCGATCCAAATGCACGAGCCCCTTTGTCCCACTGTCTCTTGGCTTGCCTGCAGCTGCGCCGAACAAGCACCAGCACGAGGTGCCTGGATTGCCTGCCTCCCCCATGCCAGTGCCGGTGCCGCTGCGCAAGCCTCCACGAGCCTCCCAAAAAGAGGGAAAAAGCAAAGCAGCTGACCGTGGAGCTGCTGGCTCCAGGAAAGTGGCCCAATAAGCAGAAATACTGCGCCCAGAAGGAGAAAGGCAAAAGCAGTATTTGCACTGCCCCAAGGGGCCAACGAGCTGCAGAGGCAAAGGCAAGCCCATGGGCGGCAGTGGCACTCCAGGAGGGAGGGCGATGTCCTGGGGCTGCATATGCAGTGCTGCCACTGCCACCCCTCTTGGCCCCAGTGCAGCGGCTGCATCTCCCCCAAGGGCCGGCTGCCTACCCACTGGCCAGCCCAGCCCGGAAGCGGTGCATCTCCCGTCAAGGGCTGGATGTGGGACTGGACCTTGGAAGGCAAGTGGGCATGGGGGGCCACCGGGAAGGCTGCGTGGAAGGCAAGCAAGCATGGCAGGGCCGCTGCTAGCTCCCTTCCCTGTGGCCGGGCAGCCCCAACATGCTTGCTTGCCTGCCTTCCACACAGACTTCCTGGAGGTCCCCATGGCCAGCTTGCAAAGGCAGGCAAGCAAGCGGGTGGGCAAGGATGGGCCAACCAAGGGTGGTTTTTCCTGGTTCGGCGAACCATTTAAAATCGCATCTACCGGTACGCGCGATCCGGTCTGAACCGGTTGAATTTCAACCCTGGACCTCAAGGGAAAGTGCTTGACCCCTTGCTTCGCAGTGTACTTATTCAGCTTTTAAGATTTTACAGATTTTTTTAAAGAAAAAAAATTAGAAAAAAATTTACAAGATGTTTTCAGGATCACTTCCAAGAGATGCTATTGTCATATTGCCAGGCTGTGATATTTATACACCAGTGATGTATCCATCACTGGTGCATTGTAAGTTTTGTAAAAAAGTTGGGACATCTCTGGACCACTTTATTTAAGTCCATTCTTTTACAGAATCCCTCTGATATGTATTCCTAAGGGATTTTATTATTAAAGGGTACTGGTAGTCTTAACGTCCTACAAAAGTTTGAGGGGGAGCTTGTTGCAAAGTTAATTTAAGCTGTAATTGTATAACTCCAATTGTCCGTTCCCTAACTTGTCCTCTATTTTCCATGCATTTAGTAACACCCCTCCTTATTAACAATATTACCATGTACTCTTCCTGGAGTTTAATTTTTCACTGTTCTGTTCAATTCCAGGTGCTCTTGCACCAAGTGCTTTTGACTTTTGTGATTCCAAAGACAACACACTCTAAGACCAGGAGCTCAAGTATAATTTAACAAAGGCTTTTAATGACAAAGTCCTGACTTCACTTGTATTAAATAGAGTTTAAATAGCTAGTAGGTCCTATTATTTGCACTTAAAACTGGAATAGCCTCCTTAGAAGTAACATTTGAAATGAAGCGTTAGTAAGTCATATGGCTTTTCTTGCTTCCCACAGTAGAGAAAAATGTAAAAATACATTCAGTAGCTAAAACAAATCGAGGATGTTCAGTACTGATCTTGATGGCAAAGCCTGAGGATTTACTCCTAGGCTTGAGGCCCAGTTATGCCATGGGAAGAAGGAGAGATATCACATTTTGTCTGCTTGTGATAGATTTTTGTTTGACTGTACCTTCCTCTCAGGGGTGGGTTCTACTTACCTTTACTACCAGTTCGCATCGCGCCCGCGCGCTTCAATCGCGTGCACACTCTTCTGCGCATGCACAGATCACCTATGATGATGTCCAGGTCAGTGGGCGGAGCCTCCCGCTGGTTTTACTACAGGTTCTTGTGAACCGGTCTGAACCAGGGGCAAACCACCACTGCTTCCTCTCTTGGCCCTTGGGATGCTTAGATCTGGCCCACAGGGCCACCCTGGAAACAGCGAAGGACCAGCCCGCAGTGCCTCTGCCAGTGAAAATAGAGCCAACAAATCCAATGCCATTAGATTCATAGATAAAAGATAGATAGATAGATAGATAGATAGATAGATAGATAGATAGATAGATGATTGATTGATAGATGGTAGATAGAAGACAGACGGACAGATATTTCTTCCTTCTCCTGTAAACAGTTTAATATTATCTCTTTTCTCTTTACATCTCCAAGGGAAGTGTATGTATGTATTTGAGTGAGAAATCAATCCCAATGCAAATCTCCTTGCATAATTTAATGTGAGCTCTTGCTGATTACTGAGGAATTCAGTAGAATGTGCCTTGCTATTCTCCAGTTCCACTTGTCAAGTGGCGTCTTGCATGATATGAAAGATGTAAAATAAAACAGCAAGAAGAAGCTTAGAAATTACTGTTCGCTGCTGCAGCTGTTGTTCCAATCAAAAACTACCAGAAAATCCCTTTCAATTAGTTATACCAAATTTGTAACAGTTTAGGTCCACAGTCATTCTCAGGGGAAAAACCAGGTCTCACTTGATGAATAATCCTTAAAGCTGTTATTTCTCAAAGAATTTTTAAAAACATAATTTGGCATGCCAGACCTCATTCCAGAATTATGAAATTGTTCAGCATACAGGCCTCTAAAGAGACCTTATAGAAACTCACTGCATTTGTCTATAGTTGGTTTTTATTCTTGATAATAAACTCCCCCCCAATTTTATTCAGTTTTATTCAGATTTAATCTAATAATTTATGTTCATTTACATTACTATTCTTCACTGTGAGTATTGTATACTTTTGTAAATAATAATAATACAAATACTTTTCAATAAGACCATTTATCTCAGGGGTGTCAAACTCAAGGCCCGGGGGCCTAATGCCCACGGGGTGCTTAGATCTGGCCCGCAGGGCGACTCTGGAAACAGCTAAGGACCAGCCACCAGTGCCTCTGCCAGCGAAAATGGAGCTCAGAATGTTGTGGACGGCCCTCCCGAGATATCCTTTTGCTGGCAGAGGGTTGCAGGAGGCCATCGCAGGCGAAAACAGAGCTCAGGAGCCCGTTTTTGCTGGCAGACTACTTGGGCCACCACAGATGCCTCCAATACAAGCTGGCCATGCCCACCCTTGCCTTGCCCACCCTGGTCCTCTGAGATCAAACACAAACCTGATGCGGCCCTCAATGAAATTGAGTTTGATACCTTTGATTTATCTGATAGTTGCTGGGCTCATGTATTATACATATTACATCAAATCATGATATGTTTTAGCCTAGGTTTGTTGGACGAAATCAACAAATAAATACATTTAATAGACAAATAAATCACAGGGACCCGATTCACCAAAAACATAAGCAGTTAAGCATGTTTTACAAACTGTAGTGGCTGGGTTTACAAATTACCCCAAGCCAAAGCAAGCAAGCCACATTAGACTAATGTGAAGATGGGCTTTCTTTGACTTCAATATACACATTGAACAAAGAGCCTCTCCATTCCAAAAGACTATCTATATGCTACAAAAACTCTCATGGACCCTGCATTCCATGGGATTGAAATTTGGCAAGCTTATAATTGCTTCACTGCTGCCATGCTGCCCCGAGATTCTGTAGGCTGGTTCTGTCCCAGCCCTCTGATGGTCAAGTAGATCAGTCCTCAATTGGATGCTGGAGGGTGGTCAGACCCAGACAGGCCAGCAGGAAATCAGAAGTCACTTTCACTCTCCCACTGCATTTTTGCCTTGGCCATTCTGTTTCTCTGTTTAGGTAAAGACATATCTCTGGGACGATGAGCCAATGGATCACAGGTTGTCTAGTTCTCCCATAAAGAGTTGTATTAATTGCTTATTAGTATCCTCACTTCATTGCTATATTCTCTTTATGCTGGGCTCATACTATGGCTTTGGAGCTAAAATCTTTCTCAATTTGTCTCTATCCAACTACTGGAATTTGACAAAGTGGGTGCACTTCAAATCCCCGATTAAGCAATGTCATCTAACAGGACAAGGAAGTATGTCTTTTCTGTCATGGTACTTGCCCTCTGGAATTAGATCTCCAAGCTATCCGGATGGGTCTCACCCTGATGACATGCTGGAAGCTATTCAAGACCTGGTTTTTGGAGTAGGATGGTGGTTAAAATCCCATTGGATTTTGTTGTTGTAGTAGGTTTGTTTGTTCCAATATTTAACTTCAAGTCACTCATGGTTTCTTTTCTTTTCTTACTTTTTAAATTGTAATCTGGAGTCTAGAGTATGAGTGAGATGGACAGTCATTAAATTTTATGTATAATTATAATGCAGTGCAGTGCAATACAGTACACAATAGGAGATGGACAGCTTCTAGATCGCCTGAGTAAATAAAGCCATGCTTTATTTAATAAAACATAGCTGGCTGAGTTGGCATAACAGGGTAAGCCATAGCTTACCAATCAAAGTGCCTTGGTTTACATAACACTTTAAGCCAAACACAAATATAGCAAGCAAATAACTTGCAACCTGTGCCAGCTTGATGGGCAAACAGGCCCTGTTATTTTTCTTAGGTTCGGTGTGACTGGGGAAATGATGAAAAATGGTTTCTTTGATGATGTCACCACATATTTTGCCATCCTTATACTTTATTGCAGAGGCACCATCATAGGAGCATCTAACTAGCCACTGTGGAAATCAAGTGGATGTATTACATAGTCCAGGTTTACTCAATCCAGCACTCTTCAGCTGCTTTGAGACTAAACAATTTCCAGAGTACACAACCTTTTAAGTTAGCTGGTGGATGCTAATTTAGGGAAGGCTGTTACCTGATTCAGCACAGCTCTTTTTTAAAAAATGTATTTTGATCTCATACTACACTGGGCATGTGTTTCTTGCACACAATTAAAAGTGTCCTAAGGGCCATGGTGGGAATCTCTTGTACATCCTGTTAAATTCTCAGATTCTCTACAAAGACTTACACAATTTAGAAATGTCCATGAGGATTCCTAGTGATATATTAAACTTGCACAAAGGAAGGCTCAGCGGCTGGCCTACCAAACCCCGGCAAATGTACCAATGAAGGAAGGGAGGTTGATGGAGAATTTGGGCTTTCTAGCCCGACTCTGTTCTTTCACTCATGATGATAGGATGACAGAAGAAGATGCTTTGCTCTTTTTAACATGAAGAAAACAAGATGGATTTTTTTAATGAGCCCTTTGATTATATTTTCTGATACCACCCATTGTATGTTGATTATTTCTCTAGGGTACTCCTGCAGGCTCGTTTCCCAGAGTATGACTCTCATCCTCGTGAATGAAGATTCTTTGGATGTAAGTGGAATTCTACTGTTCTGTTTGATTTAAATGCTGCCATTATTCCTTTCGATCTAAGCTTACCAATACACAACCAGAACACAACCAGACAAATGTGTACAGAAGGGTACCGAAACACATGGGCCTTCAAACCACATCCCACTCTTATTGAAGCATACCCATTCCCAGGGGTGGGCTTCTAAATTTTAGCAAGGGGTTCTCTGCCTGGTTGCTGGGTGGGCGTGGCCATGGTGGGCATGGCCTAGTCGGCCTCCTGGCCACAGCAGACGGGCGTTTTTGCTCTCCCCAAGCTCCAGAGGCTTTCCTTGAGCCTCCGGGAGGGCGAAAACAGGCCTGTTTTTCACCCTCCCCGAGCCTCCGTGTGCACCCTGCACTTACCTGCATCCAAAATGGGCCGTGTGGGGACTCTTGGGAAGGGCGGGGAGGGGTGGACAGCGCCAGCCAGGATTGGAATTTGGGGGGTTCTCCTAACTACACAGAATCTTAGCTAGAGGTTCTCCCGAACCTCTGTGAGCCCCCAGCTGCCCACCCCTACCCGTTCCACCAAATGACTTATTAAGATGAGAATGGTTAAGATGTTTGGGGTGTAGGGCTGAAATTGCCTTGAAATGGTGCTTCTAATCCTTTACTAAATTTGGGGAGAACCCTCTCATTCAACCTCAGTCTACTATGCCACAAGCTACCCCTTTTACCATGAACCATAAAAATGCTTGTGGTGGGAAGTAAACTTGAGTAATGGGTAAAAAATCTTAAAGGTCCAATGGAGGGAAAGTAACATTATTCTGCTTACATTTTTTCTGGATAATTTGACTCTAGAAAGCTTCTGCCTTCTTTCCATTTAAACCTTCAGAATAGAGTATATATAAATAAATAAAGAGTAATACACAAACATTGTAATAAATGTGGTTGGGCCAGAAAAATTGGCATTCTGTTGTTTAATATACTGAAAATAATAGACTTTGAGATCTAGATCTGAGAATCCAATATCTACTCCTATCATACTACATAAAAAGGGGGATTAATCAATCATCACACAACCATGATCAATGACAAATTTATTTTTTTTATTTTATTTATTTTGTCAAACATGTACAAGATAACAGGTATACGTATAAATATGGACATGAACATAGGAAATGAGTACAAATAAATGGGGATAGTAGGACAGGGATGGCAGGCATGCTGGTGCGCTTATGCATGCCCCCTTACAGATGTCTTAGGAATGGGGTGAAGTCCACGGTAGACAGATTAAGGTTGAAGCTGTGGGGGCTTGAAGATGTAACAACGGAGTCAGGTAGAGCATTCCAGGCGTTGACCACTGTTGCTGAAGTCGTATTTTCTGCAATCGAGTTTGGAACAGTTTACCTTGAGTTTGTGTTTATTGTTTGCCCGAGTATTATTGAGGTTGAAACTGAAGTAGTCATTGACAGGTAGGACATTGTAGCAGACAATTTTGTTTGTTGACAGATTTGTTGGAAAAAAAATCATTTTTATTTATCCTGATTTTATTTATTTGTCAAATTTAGGTACCACTCTCGTATCTTAGATTTTATCAAGAATGCAAGTATAGAAATGACTCATTTTTAATAAATGAAACAGGCTACTTTGAGTCAATAAATCCTACTCAATTACTGGAAAAATCCCAAGGACCCACTGCATTTCTTTCAAATCCATAAGGTGTCTGAGACGGATCTTCAAAACCAACCCAGTTCCCCACCGTAGGGTCACAGGGTGTGATGTGTCTCATCTGAATCAGGCAGTGATTTGGCTATGGCAAAGAATCATTAAAGCCATTTCTTCCATCTTCAGATCACAAACCAACTGCTTGGAGATGAAAATTAAGCCAGAAATTATTTGGGACAAGTCCATGGTTGTCTTGAGGTGTCCTTATACCATTTGCTAAGTGTTGAGGGGAAAAAAAACCTCTCTAATCTCAATAGTTGGAGAAATTCCTAGCAACAAGTTGAGGAATTCAAGAAGGCAACCTAAGCAGACAATACATGACGAGGGTCCTCTTTTCACTATCATTTCAAAAATAGGTAGTTGTACTCCCAACACAGACCTAAGAAAGTGAATAAGAATGCCAACCTGATTAAGAGATCTGATTAAGAATGTCTGGAACAAAGCCATTCTTTAAGCTTATTTAATTTTAAACTAGTTCTTCCTCGGCTTAATCTAAATATTAAACACTATATCGTTTTGATTCTCCCTCTGTTCTTTGACAGTTTTCCCAAACATTGTTCCTATCAGACATATTGGCCCTTAACTCATATAACCATAGTCTTTGATTTTACTGGATCTAGATTATGGGTATGGAAATCCAACCCATCTGAAAAATACCAGGTTGAAGAGGGTTTACATTCAGCGCTTTTCTTTCTGAGTAATGGTACTTGGCTGGAAGCTTAAAAAGAACTTTTTGACCTGAGCCCTGAGGGAAAAAATAAGTATCTTGATAATTTCAGCAGTTTTTAAACACACAATTTTGCATGCAGCTACAAATGGAAATAAAGGATCACCCTTAGTTTGACAACTGAGAGGGAAAAAGTCTGTGAAAAGGTCATGTTTGAGCACATAGAAAAATGATCCTCTAAAATTAAAATAAAATATTCTCCCCACCCCCCCCCCCCCCAACCAATGTTTCCTGCTTTGAGGTGACATAGACCATATCCAAGGAATCTTCAAGAAGAGCTGCTCATATTACAGGAAACTAGCACTCAAATACATTTTTAGAAAGCTGTAGAGTTTAATTAAAATTCTTAAGAAAAGTAAACTGAAACTGTATGGAGAAGTTAACAATGATGATTGAGGTGACTGGGTGTTTGGTCTTGAGAAATATAATAGGACTCAAATAGAACCCAAAATAGTATCATGCAGCAAGCAACCATGATCTCTTTTCAGGTATTGTTGGTGTAGGAGGTGAAATAATCAGGATCTTAAGTTATAGAAGATAAATTCTAGTTGGGAAGTGTCAGGCCAGTTCTATAATGGAACTAATTAACGAGGTGGTGAATTCTCATGGGTAACTTCAAGCAGACAATTGATAGTAAATTGGATAGACAGGTTTTGTAAATGCCTTAATTTGGATCCTGCACTAAGCTGGAATTTTCAGTGACTGAAATAATTTCTTCCAAGTGTTACATTTCTCCTTTTCTCTCCAAGGTTCATTGCAGTTGAGGGACTCAGCTTTGTCTGTGGGATAGTTAATCATAAACCTAAATCAAACTAATTCAAAATCTGTTCTTCCTGCAGCAGAAGTCAGAGTTTCATATAGAGGACAGCTATCTTAAACAAGAATTCTGATCTGCCCCTTCCTAATGCTGCATTCAATTCAGCCAATAAAGCTATGCCTAAAATTCAAAGAAACCCAGTTGCACTTGCAAATTAAAACCAGATGCTTTACTAGAGCTAGGAATACATAAACCCATTGATTTCAATGGCTTAAGCATGTGTAAGTCTGTTGATTTAGTCCAGGGGAACTAGAAGGGGGCACACATTGTCAAGTACTTATGTGTGCCTAAGCAGCTCATTTGGATTTGAGCCGTAATGATTGAACGTAATAATTCACATATGCAATCCAAAGCAATAACGTGCACTTTAATCAGAATAATTTGGTTTTGGGGTGGCTGCCAAATAGCAAAAACCAGATTATGTGACCCAGAATAAATTACTTCAGGTTTAAAATTGGTCTGTGGGGTTTCTTTTTCCCCACTTAAGTGGTAGAATAACATAGAGTGAGAACAATCTTAAATTCTCAGCTAGTATGCAGTAACATTTTTTAGTCTGCTAGTAAATAATTGGTTGGTTTTGATAAGTTGCTTTGTTTGAAGTTTTCTTATTTATTGAGTTGTTAGATATGATATGAGTTTTAGGCTCCAGTTAAAGGGATGTCTATACCAAATTAGCCTTGCATGTGCACTATAAAAAGTGAATAAGATCCATACAGATTAATCTAATATGCCTCTGGATACATATTTGAATCGCTGGCATTTCCTTATGAATTACAGCAGCTAGCAGTACATAGGTAACCTTCATAATCTCAAAAAACTAAGGCTGGTCATACCTGAAATACTAGGATAAAAAGAAAAGGATAATAGTAATAATACAGCCATACTTCATGGGCAAATATACATAAGACAGTACTGTGGTAATTAGGTGTTCAGCAGAGTGATGGTGTGAGGGGGAAAATGTCTCTGTGTCTAAATGTCTATGGAGATTCCCAGCATCCAGGTCATGGTTGTCCCAAAGGTGCTTTTTCAAGAGGCAACTGGACTTTCTGGTTTTTCTTTGAAGACGTTTCCCTTCTCATCCAAGAAGCTTCTTCAGCTTCAGCTTCTTGGATGAGAAGCTTCAAAGAAAAACCAGGAAGTCCAGTTGCCTCTTGAAAAAGCACCTTTGGGCCTCTGTGTCTGATTGTTTTGGCATGCAATGCCCTGTAACGGCATCCCAAGGGGAGGAGTTGAAACAATTCACATCTAGGATGTGAAGGATCTGTAGAGAAGGGTCAAATTGCTATCACCACTACCCTTTCATATGTTTACATGAAGAGTGTATAAGGGACTTACTCAATCTTGTTTTTGTTTTCCTTTTGTTTACAAGGGTATAACTGCAAAGCAGGGCTGGTTGTTTAGTAGTGCTCATCTAATCTTGGAAGAATTTCAAGACACAAAAAGAAAACAAAAGTCCAAACATTTAAATGCCCCTTGAGAGGGAATGATGCATAGAAAATCATGCTTTGAACTTGACAGTATCTGTTTATTTTTACATTACTGACATTTATGGGAAGAAGCATACTAGTCCATATATTTAGTCCAGGGTGAGTAATGTTCTTTTTACTCCTTGCATTCCAGCTGAAGTAATCTTTTGGAATTGTGTCACATGCCAGTGCCTGGCCAAAGGTAGCAATAATTTTGTTGCATCTCCTTTTCTAGCATCCTTCCTTTCTCTTTTTCCTTCCTCAGGTAGCAAGCTGCTGAGGAAGGGCTCTTGGCAAAAGACTG